ACTGGTAATCAGCTGCATATTTTAAGTATCATCAAAAGGCAATTATGTATTCATAGACATCGGTTATATCAAATCGAGTGCCCTTTCCTGTTCCGCTTCCTTGATTGCTCCTACCACCGTCCGCATTTCCTGAATGGGACCACTCATTGAGTCGTTTGACCGGAAACAGGCGGTCAAAACAAATATCAGACGTCTTTTATTATAACAACAACAACAACATGTGTTGCTAAGTGAAAAATAGCAGCACTTAAGAGGTTATTTTAAAAAAAACAAACCTGACTGATACTCTTAATCATCAGTGTATTTTCATCAGATGGCCTGATATTGAATTAAAATTGAGAGCATATTTTTTTGAGTCTTAAAGTCTTCAGCCTCAATACAAATGATTATGCCTCTCTCTCGGTTGTAGAAAAAGTCAAGGGAAATCTCTATCATTGACAAAGAGTTTTTAAACTGAAAAAGGATACTGTGTATGGTAATTGAATGAGTAGTTGTGTGCTTTGCAGTTCACCCTTCACTAATTGTTTCACTTGGAAAAGGAAATTTTATTGAAAGCTCAATACGTAGGAGTGACATACTTTGTTATTAGTCTAACCTCTTGATCGACCCGCCGTGATTTCATTATCCATTGAGGGAGAAAATCTAGGCGCCTGTGCCTTAATTGATGACAAAAGTAGCCTGAAGGTCATTCTTCTTTGAAGTTATAATTTATAACTGTCTGCCTGCCTACCAACGCGTGACATTTCTTGTGCTGAATAAATCATGAAGTAGATACCGTCCTATTCGTTCTTCATTCATAAAGCTACACTTGCAAATCGCACTAATCCGAAGATTTGGATATCCCAGTTTTGTGGGAGGGGATTGAAAAAAAGTCATTTACTCTGATGTAACTAAAGCTGCTATTGAAATATTCTGTAGCATATTCTATAAAATATGCGAATAGGAGGCGTTATCTTAAACAGCTAGTTGCACTAGGTGATCCAATATTAGAATTGCTTATGCACTCAACAAAATATAATTTTTAAGTTTATTGATTGTTCCAACTTTCGAAGAAAAAAAATTGTGCTCGAAAAAATTTCGAACAAGAAACGAACAAATTTCGATTTCTAACTGATTTCTAACTACAATTTTTTACGGAATTGTTTTATACAGTTTGGAAATCATTGATGTTCTGAGCACAAAATTTAAAAAAATGTTTTACCTGCGAAATTGTATGTCAAGTTAAGGGGTTTGGATTTGGCATAATTAATTGGCGCAAAATCTCATTTTCTATCAACTCGTGGTGAAAATCAGCGAACGAATCCGGCTCAGAAACCATCCCTAATTGAGGCAAGCAAATGGATTTAAATGTTCAGTTAACATTTTTTAAGAGTCGATGAACGTCTTGAAGACTTTTATATAGGTCGGATGATTTTTTGCTTTTATTTCAGAAAAGTATTCAAATTTACTTTCTAGTTCCGAAAGTGAATTTAAATTTACAGATTTTCCATCGATATAAAACGTTCACCTATTGACCCACTTTTTTTAAATTGGGTTATTTTTATCAAAACAAGTTTTACCATAAATTGTTCAAGAAGTTGAAAGAACATTTTTTGCTTTGAAATTTATTGTGAATTTTTTAGAAGTGATTTATTGCATAAATTTACTCGTGCAGTTAGCCAGGGTACTGCATTGAGTACTATTTTTTTGCCGCTGACACGTGACTTGCTTCATTAGTATATCAAAAACTACAGCTTCTAGTTTTACCTGTCTAGCGTGAAAATTACGTCGATGCTTGGTTCTGCTAAAGGCTGGGATCGATACCGGCCAGTTTTTTTTTTAGGAAAAGTCTTAAATGCTCTAACAATTAGAGACAGTGCAGACAAATATTAATGCTTTTATGAATGCCCCTAGTTTTATGTGCACTTTTTAAGTTCAATTCAAATCCACTTGCTAAAAGGTAGGCAAAATTCGCTCTCCAATTACAAAAGAGGAAATGGCGAAAAACGCATTTTTCCTGAAATTCAAAGAGTCTTAATGCCAGATTTTTTTCCTTACAACATCGAATTTGAAGTTCTAACTATCTGTTGGCTATGCTTCACAATTTGAGTTTTGTCAGAATAATTTAATTGTCAGAATAATGTTTGGCTGCTTTTTTTTTTGATTTTTTCCAAAGCGTGGACTCAACGTCTGTTTTCATTCACCGAGCTTGCAAGCATTGTGTTTTATTACGATCCATTTTCTAATCCATTTTGCTAAATTTTGGTAGTAAAACGTTTTGGCTCACTTTGTGTGTTTTTATTATTCACTTTTGCTGCATAGCCTTAGCATTTTATTCAGGGTTGGCTTGTTAATTAACACCATGTTAATTAACACTGTTTTTTAACGTTTTTTAACGTTAAAAAACATCGAGGTTTTAACTTTTTTAACATTTTATATTTAAACGAAGTAGTTTTTGCAATACAGCTCCAAAACATTTGCTCGGAATTGGCTTTTGTTTGTTTTCTCAGAAACGCCGAATTGATCACATGCACATCCAATCAAATAGTTGTTCGTTGCAAGCTGAGAATTATACTGCAACCAACTGAGAATTAAATGGCGGCTGAACAGCTGCATTCGGTTATGTGCATTTGTGCGTTCGGTTATGCCTATCAGTATCTTTTTATTAGCTTTTGCTCGATGCGTTTCATTGGTTGGCACTGTTTACCGATTTCATGCGTACCTGGTTGAGATGAAAGGTGGTTAGACGCATAATCTCCAGGTCCGCTATTCGATTCCGGCAGATGGCACTTTTTCGTTTTCTGCGTTTTTCGTTCAAAAATTGAAGTAATGAGTGTTTTTTTTTCAGATTTTCCTGTGGAGTAAAAAGTTTACCCATGGATCCAATTTTCTCAAAATAAAAATTCCAATCAAATTCAATTCATGAAACTTAAAGAACTTGTTCGTGATCTTTTTTCTCCGAGTTTCGAACGTTGAAAATTGTTCAAGTTTTTTCGATCAACTGTTTTTTTATTTACTGATTTTTATACCCTGTAACAACTATTGCCTTTTTCTTATTTGTGTTTGCGAAATGCAGCTTCGAGAAGATGTAAATTTTTACTATAATTGAAAGTTATTTCAATTTTCTGCTGTTATTGGTAAAATAACTTGCATTTTTTTCTGTTATACTTTTATTCTGCTCAATTTTTTCGGCTTATGTTAAATCGGCTTAACCGCCCTATGTTGTTTCATTCAAGAGGCTCTTATGATATTTATTATATAATTATAGGTTCTTGTGTGCTTCCTTGGAGTGGGAGCGTGTCAAAATTTTCGCGTTAAAACTTTGGGGGTTGGGGTTAGAGTGGCTTCGTCCTTTCCAGCGGTCGAAACAAATTTATGGGGAAATTTTAGAATAATTTTTGAAGATTTAATTACCGCTTAGTAAATGTGGTGCTTTGTTAGGAAGGGTAGGACAAATTTTGAAGCTCTAAGTTTTTAAACAATGGGAGGGAATTTTTTTGGGAAAAGAAGTTTTTCTAAAAGTAAAATTTTGTTTTCTGGTGAACGCGCGTCTACTCAAGCCAACTGTTGACGGAAGGCAAATTACGCTCTTCAATTACGCAAGCCGAATCGGCGCTGAATTGATTTAAGATTTGTAGGTTTCTCAGCGGAATAAAAAGATTTACCTATTCATCCAGTTTTCTCAATATGGGTGAATTTTTCTCAAAAATTGAATCAGATTTTGTGTTTGAAATTTCAAAATTTTAAGGGCCTATGTTTTTGCTCCGCCCATTGAAATAGGGGAGGAATTTTGGCTTCAGATATGTTTTAATTTTTTTGGTGCTCAGCCCGTCAAATCAGGTACTCCAAATAATCATTGGAATGGGTTGAGTGAATCGACCTTTTACTGGCACTTTTAGTTGCGAATAGAGCGACAATTTTTTGAAGTGTCGAGAAAAACCGTTTGTATTAAGTCTTTGTTTAATTTCAAAGGAGCAAACCGACCTAGTATGTCTTTTATAATTAATAGGCTCATAGTCGTCTGACTTATATGATTCAGTTTAGACCAGAAAAAAAACTTTTTAGCGCCTTCGTGCAAATTTTTCATCGAAAACAATTTAGCAAAAAAATTTAGGAACCTTTCACTTTTCGAGGAAAACTGGTTTCAAATAAACTCAATTTAGTATTTTTTCGATTGTTCCTAAATTCAAGGCTTTCTTGAGAACCTTTCATAAAACCACAAATAATACACAACACTATTCAGAAAAAAAAATGAGAAACTGTTTTTTTTGTGGTCGGAAATTTGTGCTACCTGTCGTTGTTTTCTTTATAATTCACACGTTTAGTTTTTCACATAGTTTTTTGTTTTAATTGACATTTTTTCACCTGTCTGTTGGTTATGTTCAATTAATTGTCTGTCGTTGTTTTCTTTATAATTCACACGTTTAGTTTTAACATAGTTTTAATTGACATTTTTCCAACTGTCTGTTGGTTATGTTCAATTAATTTGTTCAATAAAATGTAGAATTTTTGATGAAAAAACTTCATTTGCAATTTCATATAAAGTTAAAAACTTAGTGTCTTTACCGATTTGTAATTTTTTTACTGATTCGTTGTTTAGTGGCCATTTATTTGTGCTGTAAACAATGTGCGACTTCACTCGTTTCTGCTATTTCACTCGTTAGAAAAAAATATAATCGGTTTGCAAGATTTTATTACTGTTTTTTTTTTTATGATTCCATGAGCTTAAAACTAATGCGGAAAACAAGAAGTTACTGTTTAATTACATATCTAGTTATACAATTTCCTCGCGCTATGTTGAAACTTTGTTTGACAATAATTTAAGTAGCGATTTTAAAATCGTATGAAGTGAAAAAGACGTAATTCAAAGATAATAAAACTTCAGTTTTCTAAATCGTATGAAGTGAAAAAATAAAAACGTTGTTCAAATATATTGAAACAAACTCTCAGTTCGTAGGTGAGTAATTTTCCAATTTTTTTATGACTGTTTTTATTGCGTGATTTGTTTTGTTTGTGTGTAGACACTACTCGATGGTACCTGACCTGGTGAACATCCTGGTCAACTTCGCCCTCTACTCCCTCGCACTAGGCTACATCATGTTCCTCTACGCCCAAGTATTCAGTGAGGCACTTGGTTAGTGCTATCACATCATCCCTCATAAGCCATGCCATGCCTGTGTTTGTGTATTAAAGTTTTTCCAAGAGTAGAAAGCTTCTGGACATAAAAACAATATGATAGATAACAAAAAAATAGTTTTGTTTTGGAAACCATTCCTTTGAATACTGAGTAAAATGAGAGGTTAGCTGTTTCTCAAATTTTCAAGGCATCTAGGTCTTCAACTATGTTATATCGAAAATAAATAGAAACTTGGATTTATTCTGAGCTGGCTGGATGCAGCCTAATTTTTTATAAATCCTTAGACATGAAACATGACCCTAGAAGTTTTGCCGCTTTGAACCGAAGCAGCAAAGACACTTTGAACTGAAGTTTTGAAATTGGTTCACTAAATTAGTATAAAGCAAGTGCAATTGATAGGTTTTCTTCAGGCCGTTCGACTATCGACACCCATATTACCCCTTTATCAGTTCATTGACTTAATCTGTCCAAACTTTACTGTTTTTGTTTATCAATTTGTGGCGGAAATTCAATTATCTCCTCTGCTGTTTATACTTGCAGTCCAGTGTAATATTGGATCAAAGAAGTTAAGCTTGAAAGAATCACATAAATATTCACTGCATTGCCTTCTTAGTTGACTTTTATTTTCCTGTTTGATCGGTGCAGCTACAAAACCAGAAATCGATTTGGTAATCTTGATGCCGCAGTGGTAGCGCATTGGTCCGTAAAACGAAAAGAAGGATTTTGCGCCGAATACTAATAAGACGGCCTTTAAGTGATGGCCGGAAACCATTTTTGGCGATACGGTTTGATGTGAACCTGAATGTAAATACCATGCTAGCATCATTTGTCGTGACCGATAAGGGTTTCAACTCACACTACGAACAAAAGAAGTCCCATTTCGTAGATTAAGCGATATAAAAACGCATTTTTCATGTAAAGAGATTAATTTTCTGCTTCATGCGCTGTCGTTGTAGCTTGATTCATGTCTCATGAAACATCGATCATCAATCGCCAGTAATAGTCTGCCCTAATCAAAGTATGGTGTTTGATGTAGGTGCTCTTCTAATTGAGATGTAGTAATTGAGTAATAGTTATCCACTGGATCGTTTAGGTCGAATGCGGAGACGCCATTTCCCCCATGGTGAAAGACGGGCATCTTTGACCTCCGACTGCGCAATTGCGTGTATGGAGACTTACAAACAGGAGGTACGTGTTTTTAGAAGTATTTTACTTCGCGCAAAATGCTAAACAAATCTCTATAAAATGGTGTTTCTCAGATGATTACTCCCCACATCAAATAGATCACGTAAAATTTTTCGACCCTTCAAACCGTTTGTTGCCCCGTGTGAATTCTGATGGGCTTGAAATTTAACGGTGAGTAAAAAAAACATCCGTAAGTTGTCTCCGTAAGATCTGCTTGCTCTGGAAAATTCTGTTGTGTAGGCAGATATTATTCTGTGTGAAGAAGTGAAATTAATACACCTGGTGAAAGCTCAATAAATGTTAATCTCAGCTAGTTGATTATGTGTAAAAGAAGGAAATGGTTTTCTTTTATAAAGGCCTTGATGATTTTTCGTTTTTTTTATCAGAAAAAAAGTATGAAAAAGCTTGAATAACTACAGAAGTGCATTCATTAATTTTGCGATAAGCAAGGTTGTTGCATCCAGGTACTAAGTTTTTTTCCGGTAAACAACTTTTGTTCAAGAGGTTTTGCACGTGAAAATGTTACACGCGTTTCAGCTTGCTTTATAATGAATTCAAATTTAATAACTATCTGGCGTAGCGGTATCAGGTACACTTGAGACGACAAAGGCTTGTGTTGTGATTCGAATGCTGTCAGAACCGATTTATTTTTTTTTGAATTTGTTCCCGTTGCACGGACTCGTTTTTAAAATTCAACTTCCTTCTAAATTCTGAAGGCTATTAATAGAAATAATTGATTTACAAAATAATTGACAGAAATAATTGATTTACAAACAAATTTACAGAAATAATTGATTTAAATTTTTGTTGCGGTAAGTTTGTTGCATTTGAAAAATATATCTAATAAAAAAATACATATTTTAAAAAAATGTTTTTTTCTCTGAAAATTTTGGCTTTGTCGATTAAAGAGCACAGATTTTTCTTTTACGATGCAAATTTGGCGTTCAATTGTCTTCTTTAGTATGTTATTTTTGGAATACAAATATTCCAGACAAATTGATAAAGATATGGAAATGTTGCTAGTTCTAGGCCTTCTCGACACTCATATTTTCACAAACGCAAATTTTCCGACCAAGCAGCTTGCGTCTCATATTCTGTCTGCTAGATTGTGCTTATTTGTGTTCCATCGCAAGGTTTTCTGCTTCATAGTTGTCGACTTAATCGCTTTCGGATTAATGTTGATTTTTGTCGTGTTCCTGGTTTTTGGCCTAGTTACCGTCGGTGCAATTCATGTATTTTTCAATTATTTTTTTTGTACTGTCTCTTTCCGTTTTTTTGTTCAGCATAGATTTTATTTTGATTTCCGATTTTCTATATTTTGTCTGATTTTCTATATTTTGTCTGATTGTATATATTTTTTCAATTTAACGGTTTCAGCTCATGTTTTATGGCATTGTGGGTTATATTGCGTTGTTTCCGAGTAAAAAAAAAATTTCATCGACAAAATCATGAAATATTACACTTGAGAGAGCAAGTGTCTTAAATGAAATCGGGAACAAGACTTCCAGTGAACAACTTTTCTTACTTGTATTGACTTTTCTTTATCTTGATTTTTGATTGGACCTTCACAACCTCCAGGTTCCTTCCCACTGGTCTAGAGTTAACGCCGTCGCCCTTGTGCCCTAAGGTCTGGGGTGTGACTCTCGGCCGGACCTTGTTTTTTTCAGTGTATATGCAATTCAAAAAAAATCGGTAAAAAGTGAATTGTTAGACTTCCACTTTTCTGCTAAAGTTTTTTCAGCATAGTTGCCATATCACAAATCTTGTTTGCCCTGTAAACAACTTTCAATGCTAGCGCAAAATTTGTTTTTTGTAGGTTCAGGGAGGTTGAAGTTTTTTTAAGTCAATTGGTTTTTTAAGTCAATTGGTTTTAGCAAGTCTATATAAAAGTTACCATTTTATCTAGACCAGCAAAGTATAAGAATGGTTCAATCTCCCAGGATTGAAATGAAAAAATTAGCACACCATAATCCGCCATTAAGAAATAAACTAAACTTGGATTCATATTTCAGGCTGAAGAGGAAATCTGACTGCTTTTTGTAAATTTTGAGCTCAGCTGTGGCTTAAATTTAGTCTGTCTCTTATAGTTAGTAAACTCGTTCATTATGACAAGTGTAGAATTGAACATGACATAGGTACGGGTCGAACAAGGAAATTCACCCAAATTTAACACAGGGTCAGCCCGAACAAATTTCTTCTGTGGTGCGGATATGTTTCAACTAACTACAATCCAAAATTGCTTTATTGTCAAATTTTTTGTTGAAAGAGTATCAATCTGAGCGTTTTTTGGCTCGTTTCAGTTAAGCATCTCCCGAAATGATAAAAATTTAAAATGAAAGTTTTAATTAAAAGCTGAAGTGAATTGAACTTGAGCGAACTATTCTAATTCAAATTTGCATGGCTGAGTATTTCGATAAAATTCTCTACTTACAGAGCCATTTTTTGTTGGTTGGCTCTCGGCTATTCAGATTGCTATTCGGTAAGGCTCTTGTGTTGTTCTTTTTTTAATAAAATACTGTTAGAATATACTGAAATTATTATTCCAACTTTTGAAGAAAACGGAACTTTTATGCTTGGCGTCGTTTTTCTTCCGACTTTCGAAGAAAGTGAGGAATATATATGCGCAGGTTGTTTTTTTTTATTCAGACCCATTTTACAAAACTTCATTTTCCCTCGGGGGATCGAAGACCTATTTTTTTATTCAGACCCATTTTACCATTTTCCCTCGGGGGATCGATCTCTTGAACTTCATGAACACAGTTGGGTGTGCACACCACTATAGTAACCTGCCATGAGTCTGTCTTAAGTACTCATTTTTTACTTAACAAGTGACGAATTATCCCGCACAGGGGCGGATTTAGGGGGGGGGGGGTGGACGCCCCCCCCCCCCCTCAGGGATTCGACCCCCTGCCGACCCAAAGGGTCCCCCCTTTGATACTTTTTCAGAAATCCATTTTTGGCCGACCGACCCTAAAATTTTTCTAAAGGCGCCTTCGGCGCCAATATATACTAACTTTGAGGGGGAGCGCGCGCCAAAAAGCGCGATTTTTTTGTCAACATTTTTCAAAAAGTGCCCAAAAACGGCTTTTTTGACTGTTTTTTCAGAAATTTGCCTGCGGCGCAGAAAATTTAGCCAAAATGGGGGCAAAAAAGTGCTTTGGGAGAGCTCCAAAAATCAATTTGGTCGACCTAAAAAAAAAAAGGTCGTCAAAATTTTCGATTTTTTTTTGAAAATCCGCCCCCCCCCCTCGAGAAAATCCTAGATCCGCCCCTGATCCCGCACTTCAAAATATTGAGGCAGTTAATTGGTTTTTGATTCCATACAACGCTTAAAATTTAATTTTATTAGCTTTAAAAAATTTGCCAATTTTTATTTTAGCAAACACTATTCGAGACTCTAGTCGGAACATTCAGGCCTTCAGTCAGTTTTTTGGCGAGTTTTTGGCCCTCGATATATTAGTTTTTCACAACATGTTTTTGTGCCCCATTGAAGATATGGACTCCGTCAAATCAAATTCAAGAAGGTATCCAAAGTTTCGTAGTTTGAAAATTGCCGGTTTGGCCATGGTCTGGACTAATTTATGCTTGGCGAATTATCCCGCACAACAAAATCAATCCACATTGAATTGAGGCTGGCTAGTCGTTCGCAATTGCTTCTTATTTAGACCCATTTGGCAAAACTCTGTTCCCTCGGGGGATCGATTTCATGATCTGCATGGGCCCATTCGGGTGAGCACACCACTATATTAACCTGCCATGAGTCTGTCTAAAGTACTCGTTTTATACTTTACACGTGACGAATTGTTCGAGCTGGCCCTATGTTAATTTTTGAGTAACCTTGTTCGGCTCACACCTATGCCATGCTCATTTCTACACTTGTCATAATGAACGAGTTCAGTAAATATGAGAGAAGACTGAATTCCCATTTCCTATGTATAAGGACGGACGTGCTCAGTGCTTTCAGATTCCCAGCAGGAGACGTGGAAACACATAAGGCTTAACGACAACAGAACTGTAGATGCCTTAACGAATATAAATTTATAACTAGCGGCTCTGAAAATCTCTGTTCATGCATCAGGAGGGGAAAAACAGTCTTTGTTGACATTATCAATGTGGAACTTTTCAAATTGATAATTAAATAGATGATAATAAGTAAAATCTTTCAATTTTAAAACTTTCTTATCTTTAGTTGAAGAGCTCATGTTTTGACATACATTTGCAGATATCGTATTTACTTACAACATATCAAAGTAAATGGATTTGGCCGAGTTCACCCAGTGATCAGGTAATACTATTATAAATACTAGACTGCTCGTAAATCAGGGCAAACCGTTTAATGTTCCGACTTCCTCCTACTCCTTATTGAATAGTTTTGTGGGAGAAGAAAATGTTGAGAAATTGTAAGCTTTGGACAATATCAAAGATCAGAAGTGTAAACATTTGAGTCGTGAGAACTAAATACGAACGTTTTGCTAGCCTCAATTCAATGTGAATTGATTATGTTGGGCGGGATAATTCGCCACGCATAATTAATTCGCGATACGTTTTCAGGATTTTGAATAATAAGTTCCAGAGCATGGCCAAATCAGCAATTTTCAAAGACCTATTTTGCAAAACTCTGTTTCCTCGAGGCATCGATCTCTTGATCTGCATGGGCCCAATTGGGTGTGCACACCACTATAGTAACCTGCTACGAATCTGTCTAAAGTTTTCGTTTTTACTTATGAAGTGACGAATGATCTCGTACTTTAAAATGGTTTCAAATTGAATTGAGGCAGTTAATTGGGTTTATTAATTCTATACACGACTCAAGTCTTAACGCTGAAAATTGAACCTATCAGCCTAAAAAGTTTTGCCAATCATTAACTTACCGAAAATTTCCCAGACCAATTCAAGAGCAGTCGGAACATTCAGGCCTTTGCCTTGATACGAGCAGTCTGTTTTTAAGTCATTTTTAGAAATCGAAATCATAGTTTTCAATAGTGTTGCAAAGTTTTGGGAGTTTGAAATTTTTCTGCGCATTTTGAAGATAACCAAAATCTTGAAAGAGTATCGCGAATTATTTATGCGTGGCGAATTATCTCGCACGACAATCAATCCAAATTGAATTAAGGCTAGCTAGTCTTTCGTTTGAAGTTCTTACGACTCAACTGTTCACACTTGTGATCTTTGCTATTGTCCAAAGCTCACAGTTTTTCAATATTTTCTCCTACAAAACTATTCGATAAGGAGTAAGAGGCAGTCGGAACATCCAGGGCTTTGCCCTGATGTGCGCGCAGTCTTATCTTTTTAATAGTAGCACCCGATCTATGGGTGGACTCAATCGAAGTGATTTACTTTAATATGCAGTAAATAAACCATCTGCAAATATTTTACTTAACATGAACTCTTCAAAGATATTACAGCATATTATGATGGTTTTCGTTACAATTGAGATCAACTAAACTGAAGGCTATATTTTGTTTTCCTTCTTTATGCACTAATAGAGATTTTCATAGCCGCTAGGTCTATGTTGTCAACATATATCGCTTAAAGCATCTACCTTTCTGTTGTAGATAGCCTTTTGTAATTCCATTATCTATGAACATCAGAATTAACGTATTGAGATTGCTGACTTGGTAAGGACTTAGCCTTAAAGTAATCATTTGTTAAGAGACTCAAGCTGTTAATAAGAGCACAGTGGCTTGCGAAATTTTTTTTTTATTTAGACCAAGTTAACATCGCCTCAAGTCGCTTGGTGGAAGGATGTTAACTTGGTGTGCGAAGTTGACAATTTTCGGACCAAGTTAACATCCCCCAAAGCCGTTGGGGGAGGGGGGGGGGGAGTACCTACATATTGCATCGAGAATATTTGTGAACAAATCGAGACATGCAGTGTCGAGATATGAAAAAAATCGAGATGCAATTTAAACTGTTGCTCATCTGGTATGAAACACTTGTGAGAAGCTCGAACACAATGTTCGCATTTGAAAAAACTTTCGCGCTTACTTTTGATTGATTGTTCTCACACTGGGGACCGGGGACCGATCGTTTAGCAGACCAATATTTTGGCATCAAAAGTGAAAATGAGTCTTTTAGCAGACCAGCAAAATAAACTGATGCATGATTGGAGGGTTAGGAAATCAGACAAGCAAATCAGACTCCAATAAAACGGAATATAGACGTTAAATAACGAGCATTTTGGACCAAAAGCAAAGAAACTAATAAATTTTGTTGCTTGAAACAAACTTTCAACAACACAAAAAGAATTTATAGTCTTTCTGCATATCAAAATATTTATTATAAATAGTTTGAAAACGTTAATCCAAATATTATTAAACATTTCTGAAATGCATAAATCTATCAATTGCGACATGTTAAAAATTGATTCGCATTTAAGAAAGCTCGAACTAAAGTTAATTATAGTCAGCGAAAGTTAATTGCAGTCAGTTACAAATTTCACTTGGGAACAATACAATTTCGTCTAAATTCCCATATTTGTAGTTTTGCATTGACGTCTAAATTCATTTTCATGGTCACGTCTAATTTGCTTTTCGTCCAATTTCCTAGGCCCCGCATGATTGATTGACAGACTCAAAAAGACGCTCAGCCTTGGGTCAAGCTTCTTCAATTTAGACACTTAACTCATGATTTGTGAACAAAACTCAACTTTAAAAACACTTGTCAAATTAATGGCAAGACAAGGATTTACGCGCATAATAACACTCGTGCCGAATAGAAGCGCAGCGGAGCAGGCGGTCGCTAATTGCTAACGCTGCGTTTGGAATTAGCTTTCTGACTTGGTAATTGTTTTGAGTCTGCTAAAAGATTGTTCTGCTAAAAAACCGGTCTTTTTATTTGAAAACTAGTGCAATATTTGAATATTTGTGCAATATTTGAAGCACTCGTGCATTTTTTAAATATTGCTCTAGTGTTTACACAAGCAAAACTTGTGTGATTTTACGAACTCACTTTTTTCCAACCTAAGTCGCAAATATTAGTGCTCTTTTTGAAAGTGCTCTTTTATTGCAGTATAAGCATAAGATCAATAACCAGTGATTAAGTACAGCAAATGCTAAGGATATTAACACACACTATTGTATTAGAAATAGCAATTTAGCTTCCAGGTGTTATGGTTCTGTAGCGTAGAGGTAGACAAGGAGACCAGCAGCAAAATACGATGGTTCGAACCTCAGCAGGGTCGCACGTTTTTAATGAACTTTTTCGTATCCTAGTTAAAATGCGTCCGCTCTATAAATTGAGGCATGTTAGATGATAAATTTCTTTTCAAATTGACTGGTACTGCTAATGCGTCATAATTGGCTTGCCTCACTGAGCAATTATGTAGACTCATAATTGGCGTGAGTCACTTAAGAAATTTTGTAGACTCAGTAGCGTTGTCGGTCAAATTTTTGCTTGTGTATGCGAAGTGCAACTTCGCTTCTGGGTTGATATATTGCACTTGTTTTTCGGATATTGCACTACTGATTCAAATGTTGCACTAATATTTCAAATATGGCACGGAAACGTACTGAACACTTGTTTTAATTTCTCAAAAAACTGGATTTTCAACTGCATTTTCCAAGTTGAGCTCAAATTACGTTTCCCATTAAGACTAGTGAAAATGGCGATAACATATGGAGCTCAAATGAAGCTCTTGTTTCAAAGGCAGGTTTCATGTTCCACCGAAATGACAATTACCATTTGATGCGGTTTTCTCGAATTGGGTTTGTTAAAAAGAATCTATCGTGTATGTGTTGAAATTAAAAGACCTAGGTGGGATTCATTTTATTCTTTCGGCTTTTTCTCCTTGGATATCTTTAACTATCACCCCCTCCCCTCGGGTACCTAGTAACGAATCTCCCCCTCCCAAAAAGAAGTAAAACAACGATTAAGCATATGAGAATTTTGTACCTAGTAGCGAATCCACTTCTTTGAAAAAGGGGGAAATTTGCACTTAGTAACGAATCCACCTCGTTGAAAAAGGGGGAAATAGTAAAAGAGATTATTTTCCCCACCTCACAAAAGCATCAATTTTATGGTGTAATGAGAGGTTCTTGAAGGTTGGGTATGAAGACCAAATATGTTAATCATAGCCTAATTAGTCAGCATGCCAATTTTTGTAACAATAGGACAATGTGAACAGAGAAAATAATTAAAAAGTCGCAGATGGGTGGGGAAGGAAAAGAGCCATTTTCTCAACTGCGAAAATTGAAAAAATCATTCTTTAAACTACGTCAGTAGCATTTTCAGCTCTTTTCCACTTCCTTGCCCACAGTTCAATTTCAATTTTAAAAACTATTTCAATTTTGTAAAGTTGAAAAGAAATTGTTCACGGTGACTAAAATAATTATTTTGAGTAGATTTGTTCTTCTTACTTAACATTGTAGCATGATGCTTTTAGCCGTGAAACATGTATGGCAACTATGAAAATAAAAATTGTTGAAGTCGGGGGTAAAGAGTCACATTTTGTACTACTTGTTTGTGTTTTTGTGCTAATAATGGTAGAAACATCCGATCAGTGAAATAAATTAGGCCAAAGTGTGAATTGTTTTAAATTGCAGAGATGAAAAAATAGGTCAAAATTCAGAGTTCTACGGTTCCTATGAAAAAGGGCTTTGTTACCGAGTTTAAAATTGTCCTCGGCGAGTTTGTACAACCAAAAATCAAATTCAAGGAGCTCGCGACGTCGGGAAATGCACCTTAATAGCCGTTTTTGGACTTTTGGTTCTGACTTTCCACGAAAATGACGGAATATTTGTCCAGTGGTGGTTTTTCTCCAGACCAATTTCGGCTTTTTAACCAATCATTTTTGAAGCTTTTTATGTCAGTGGAAAGCTATGCTGCCTAGAGCTCAAATTACAATGATGTTTCACCTGCGACTAAATTTTTTGAAATTGGTGGGAGGGGGGTTGAGTTATGTCAATTTGGCCTAAGCGATATAATTAACGCGCGATATGTTTCGCCCTATTAACGCGTGAGTGGCGAATTAAATAATTCCAAATTGATTGAGGCAAACATTTGGGTCTTAACAAAACGTTATCAGACGAGAAATGTATAACTTCTGTTTTGTAAATTAAAACTGGGGTTGTTGCTTAGATGCGTTTGATCCGTGGCTTCGTAGTGCTGGTGGTGGCTGCTCTGATGACTGCATGTATCCGCAACAGCTACTACCTCGTCTGCTTCATCATTGGCTGTGACGACTCCTGCTCATCGGGTACATAACATACACAACACAATGCCTAGCACTCTCCTCAGTCGACATGCACATTTGAGAGAACTACACTTGACATCTTAATGAATTGAGATATTATTAATAGTAATGAAAGTAGTGATTAAGAGTAATGAATTAAGAGTAAGAGTTTTCTAATATTGGTCTTGCTGATTTTTTTTGTTTTTTTTCAGGAATGTCTTAAAAAGTTGATGCACTTGGGTATATATGCTTTTTTTTGTGTTCAATTGAAATTCATCTGCTGAAAGTGACGTAAAAAGCACTCTCCAATGCGAACGTGCAAATGGCGCAAAAATTCGTGAACGATTTCTAGTTTCAAAAATGGAATTTAATTTTTAGATTTTCAGCGGAATAAAAACTTTATCTGTTGATCCAGTTTTCTCGAGTTGGGTTAATGTTCTCAAAAAAGCGCCAGTCATAAATCGTTCTAGAAATTCGAAGAGTTTATAGGGGATCTATTTTTTTCTTTGAACTAAGTCAGTTTTTTTTTATTGTTTAATTGCGTTCATTACTCTTTTCCGATCTTCGATTGGCTATGTTTATGTTTTTTTACTCGTATTCCCATAGAAGGCTCGGTTAAATTTGTTCAGTATTTTAAAGAAACGGGCCGACGCTGGCGGTTTCTTAAGATAATAGATAATTTCGGTCGCTATAGAAACAACGGTGAAGGAATATTTACATCCTCATTAATGCGAAATCTTGTGAACAAATGTAATCCACGCTGTATAAAAAATGTAAGAAAAAATAGTCCACAAATTTTTGCGAACTACTGTTATCAGTGACCAGTGAAATTTTTCTTTATCTCAACTGAAGTTGACATTCACCGAACGTTTTGTGCAACCATTTGATCAAGACAAGCTCTAAACTGGTTGTATAAGTGGAATCTGAGAGTTCATTTTTTTGATTGATCGACATTTCCGCCATCTCTGACACTTATGACTGCAATAAAGCACGCAAAAAAATCGAAAGTGTGATGAAGTTTGAACTATATGAACTACCAACAAAGAGTAGACTTGAAATGAATTGTTTCAAATTGCACCGAAAACAATGCGCAGACGAAAAATCATTTAGGTTGATTCAAAATCCTTATAGTGTGATTTAAAATAGGAAGCAGGGCCTGATCATAAACTTAAAGTTGATTTAAATTGAGAGCTCTGGCTAAGTTCGAACTGTGTTAGAAAAGAGTTTGACCAAATGAGACAAAAATTTTTCTCCTAGCATTGTAACAAAAAGTGTCTTGAATGATTTAAAGGTTCGCAGGGGTTGCCGTTAGGACAGATCGTAGCTGTTTGTTTGCCATGATCTGGAGCAATGATATTTATCGGAATTTTGTATGTGTAGGCGGCAGATGGCGTGATACAGTGTTCAGCACATTCACAGGCTGCAGTCTCCTGCTAGTCACCTGCTTCACCCCCTACGCGTACTTCTATCGCAATCCACTCTTTCAGAAGGCATTCTACGATCTACTTCGCGACAAAGTCTGCAGACGGGGCAACAGGGCCAGCAGACCCCCGTCCACTAAAGCGATAGAGCTGCTGGCCAAAGCATGAGTCATATCTGATCGGAGTGTGGTGATTTTAGAGGAAGTCATTCGGGGAACTATCAATTTGATGTCATAATTCTTCTATTTGATGCAGTTTTAGATGTTCAGTTTTCGATGTTTTAATGTAAAGATTTTCCCTCTGTCTCATTGTAATAGTTCTAAAATCTTTTCCTGTTTCAGTTTTCAGCATTAAAATGTATGGGTTTGTCTTGTCGATTGATAGCAATGTTGCCGCTCTGCATTGGTTAAGTGTTTTGACCAAATTTTTAAATTTCTCTTGAGACTTGTTTCACAATTTTTGTTCGAAGAAAGTGCGGAATATCTATGCTCGGCGTGTTTTTTTATTCAGTCAATTTTCGACTTGTTAACCAAGCGTTTTTGACAGAGTTTTTCTATACCATCTGAAATATATTGTTGTCCTGAGCTCAAATTTAAAAAGATATTTTACCTGTGATTATTTTACGTCAGGTTTCGAGGATTTGAAAATTGCTGATTTGCGATACTTATTGTGCGATGTTTTGCCTTCTTATAACGCCTAAGAGGCACATTAATGCGTTCCAAATTTAATTGAGGTCATAAATTTAATTTGATTTTTTTTTGAAGATTTCATCCGTTTTTTAAAACCGACACTTCTCCATAGATTTTATAATGCATTCGGAACATTCAGGGTTTCGCCCTGATACGATCAGTCTTGTTTCTTTTTCCATGCAAAATCAGGTATTCAAATTATTATCGAACTGAGTTGAGTGATGTATCATATTAAAGCTCTTTCAATCGCCATTTGAACAATACGTGTCGAGAAAAACCGATTTGAAGTTCTTGATTTAAGTCCAATTCGGAACGAATAAAGCGAGCGAGTAGGTATAAAATAGGCTTTTAATAGACACACAATTCAAGTTAAGTCGAGCAAACTTAGCTTTTCTCTGGTAAAATTAGTTGTCTCTGAAATTTCAAAAAACAAATAGATCATCCCTTGTTTTGTATCCCTTTGTTTTAAGGTTATTGCTTGGTTTTTTTGAAGGCTTGAATGTCAGCAATAAGACTGTGAAGGAATAAAACTATCAAATTTTTCATCGGAAAAGTTATCCAGCCTAAAGTTTTTTCGTTTTTTTTTTCAGGTTAAATAAGCTGCTAAAATATTCGATTGCTTTTTTTCTTGGCTCAAAACGATTTGATATCTGAACAAGAAAATGCCATTTTTGGGCAAACAAAAACAATTGTTTCGATTAGTAGAAGATTTTTTTTTGTTTTTCCTCTATGAATTAAATTGTTTTTTCTTGTGAAATTGATATTTGTCTAATTCAGTTTTTAGAATTTTAAGTGCATCAGTGAAAATTGAAAAGCATAGGACATAATTTCAAACTTTATGCTAAAAATAATAATGTTTTCTTGGGGAAAATGTTTTCCTCATGTTACGACCACCAAAATTGGGTTTGTTTTTCGCCAAGCAAATCCAGGTTTCATAAATAAACGCGTGACATGGAGGCGAATGATATCATATTACGGCGCTTTTACTACGTAAATTTACTGGATACCAAGCGAAAACGGATTCTTTTTCAAATACCTTTTCGAAAATTTTATTTTTGTCCCTCGAAACATCAATAGCACGGCGTCCATTTCATTATATGTTTATACATTAAAACTTTTATGATAAATAGGCCATGATTTTGAAGCTAGCACTTCTCACATACAACCAAAAAATCTGAATTTTTCAAATGGATTTTGCAATTTTATGTGTCATTGAAAAATTCTGTAGTACATGCTCTGAAACATTATATTTTTTATCTTAAAAAAAATTGATCCATGAAAAGTTCGTCGTTTTGAAATGGCTTTTAGTTAAAATTGTGAAATCAGTGAAATAACGTTGAAATTGCAAGCGAATTTTCAAAATTGCGTCCACCTGTCAAAAGAGCAAACCAAAACGGTTGCGCTCTTTCAGAGCTCAGTTTTTAATAACTTTAAGCGCCTAACACTTCAGCAGCAATCTGACATGCAATTTTTTAATGGAAAGATAACATATAAAACGCCGAGAAAAAGGCAAACGCAAAGCTTCAAAGAACTGTTTCTAATAAATTTCAGATTGAAGGTCAAATTTATTTCAAAAATTTAAGACGTCCGATAATTTTGTTAAAAGCTATAAGTTTTTGGTGGCACTTATTTTTAATAGTTTGTCAGATATAGTTGAAACTTTTTTAATTGAGTGTTTTTATTAAGGGTACAAGAACGCAATCATTTTCATTTATATAGGTCGTGATAATTTTTTTGTTTTTCAGGAAAAGTCATAAATTTTGGGGTTTTTTCCACTATAACCCCCCTAACCCCTAGTCTTGTAACGAAATAATTATACCCCCGCAAACATCAAGTTTTGAATTTTAGTAGTCCTTAATTAACGAGGGGGGCTATCATGGTAAGACCCTAAAAGTTTCCTGCTCAAAATTGATTTTTCGCGGTTTGGCTTGTAAGTTTGTTTCGTTTTCTCTGTTTAACATTTATTGATTCTTTCTTCGAAATTTGAAAATGTTAAAAATTTTCATTCATTTTTTTTGGCTCCCTTGAGTTCTTTTACACTTTTCAAACTCTCTGTTGCATATGTTCAAATTTGTTAGATCGTTTTAAACCTTTTCAATTTTCTTGACAGTTTGTGAGCTTGGAGTTGCTAGCTTTTTTGTGACGATTATTAAAGCAGTTCTTGAATAAGTGCTGTTGACATTTGAGGAGCATTTATTTCAGGTGAAAATGGTAGGAGTGTTGAATTGTGCCACCTGCGGAACCTCCGACCCAAAACACCTGTTCACATGCAAGAACTGTCCATGTGCCTTTGAGTACGAAGAGCGAGTCGGGAACAACCTCGGAATTAAGTTCGATGACGAAGAACACAGAGTTTCCTTGAACATTTTTGTCTGCAGCAGGGAGTGTCAGAAGGAATTCTGGGATCAACACAAAAAAGAGCATAAATTTAAACGTGAAGCTGAGGCGCCAAGTTTTGTGAAAATTGTGGAGAAAGAACCCCAGTGGTTCGTTGACGTTTACAGGCTCCGATTGGATGATGATTATGCTTTCGGTGACTGGAACTTGCACGGAATGTACGATGCCGAATCCTTATTTGGAAAAGAACATGGACTTGAAAAGGCTATATTCATTATTAAAGATTTTATTGTGTTTGTTTTGCTTGCCGTTCACAGAGGAGAGATCACCGCGCAACCGGATGATGTGAAGTTTTGGGAGGGGTTGCAAGTTGCAGCAGAGGAATCGCTTCAATATGCCTTCGAGGAATGCGATTGCGAGAAAACATGGGGACCACGCGCTGCTCTGATTATGAGAGCGAGTGCTGATAAAATCTACGGTATATCGGCATTGCATATTGATATTTATGAAGAGGAGGAAGGTAGAAATATGAAACATAAAGTTGAGTCGCAAGTTGGTCTTATTTTTGATGACTTCGGTAAAAGCTGGTACTTCAGCATGAATTGGAAAGTATTTAACCATTTTTGGTATAAAGCCATTGCAAACAATCTTCTAAACGAGATTGGTGGTGCTAAAATATACCAGAGGATAGCAGAGACTATGGCCAAAGTAATGTATGCGCGCCAGCATGTGAAGACACCGTTGGACTTTGAACGTTGATTTTGTTTTCTTTAAAAATATTGAAGTATATATTTTGATAGTTTTACGGTTTTGTGAAATGAATGAAAATTTGATATCGAGAAAGAATTGATCTTTGAATCATATTTAGCCAAGAACATACAATTGAATTCTTAATTGTCTTGACTTAAATTTAAATTATTGTTCTTTAGTTTTTCGTTGAAGAAGCGAAGTACAGTTTTTTTGTCATGACTGTAAAGCGGAAGGTGTGCAATACAAGCTGCTTTTTACATTGATTTGGAAAATATCGAGCTATTCAAACAATTTCCCAAAATGCAAATTTTTCACTGATTAGACAAGTATTTGTTGCTTTGCCTATAAAGACATGCGTGAGTAAATTGAGATATAGACCCACGGAATGGTCATATTTCTAGTCAGAAAAATGGAATTTTGTTAGTGTTTTTGGAGAACTCTGAAATTTGATTCAATCGACTCAAAAGAAGGCCGAAATTTTTTTCATTCTTATTTCAACCACTCGTAGAGTGGGAAGGAATTAAAGCTTAGTGAGTGATGGAATTTGGCTACCTCAAAGAAAGATCATAGAACGCTGAGTTGGTTTCAAATTTGAACCCTTTCAGTCATGATTCCAATATTTGAAGAAGTTCAAACAGTTTTCTGCGCAGAGTGAAACTGCCTAGATTTTTCAATTTTTTAAGCTTTTATCGTCTATTTTTCTTGCAGTTTTTACTCTATTCAGTGGCGCCTTTTCACAATTTTCTAAAATTTTTGAAACAACTCCGCAACCATTTATACTTGCCGAACGGTAAAAGCGAAAATTGTTTGTATGATGCATTGTTGATTGATTAGATTAATTTCACAACTGTCACTGCTCTGCGGAGAACTTTATTTTTGAGCTGTATAAGTACAGATCTAAGCTAGTTCATTTGGTTGTTGGATTCGCCCTCCGCTTGCTCCCCATCCTCCTCTGACCTCACAACTGGGTTTCCATCCAGCTTCTGCAACTGAGGCAGTCTCCGCAGTGCCTCCTCCTTCCAAGTCCCATCCTCACATGCACGCTCATACAGGGGGTTGCCCACAAACAACAGATCCTACGATTTAAAAAACTAGTATGAGTTAATCAGCCGAAGTGTAATTGAACCGAAGACGAGCAAAGGATATACAACAGCCGAACGTTGTGTCATTGGTGTAGAGAGTCATGGGACTTCGAGTGTCAAAGAACGTATATTTTTTTGTTTTTGTTTTTTCAGGAAAAATTTTTTTACGCTCAAATTTGCTTTTGTGCGGCTTAACTTTTGATTTCTTTTCAAGTTCAGTTCAAATTAATTTACTAATACCGATAGCAAAAGTTCAAATGCCGCCAAAAAGTGAATGAATCTAGTTTTAAAAATTGATTTTAGTTTTCAGAATTCTCAGCGGAAATACATTAATCTATTGTTCCAGTTTTCTCGAATTGGACTAGTTTCATCAACTAAGTGCCTTAAATTCAAAGAGCCAAAAGGTGGTATATTTTTTCTTTGAAACTCGAAAGGAAACTTGATCTCCTTGAGATCGTTGACACTTTTCCAACTCATGTCTGTTGACAGTGGTGTAATTGTTAGATAATTTTTAAATCAGTAAGTTCGACCGGTTTTTCTGGTTGCTGGCTCTTTTCAATGCCCAAGAAAAAAGCTGTAAATTTAAACAAAAAAATAAAATTGGCTATTTATTAATTTTAAAATTATTGTTTATTATTCTCCATTTCTTAGTAGCATTGCTATTTGCCATAGGATTCTAGTAACTTAAACAGCACTCGGCTTGGCTCGCTCACAATACACAGAATTTACATATTCCAACAAAAAAAAACTGGAAAATCATTGACTAAAAGCTCAGAGTTTGACTAATGTATAACTTAGTAACTCCTGGAGTGAGCTGAAAATAGCGCAGTTAAGATTGTTTCCTGCATTTGTGCTCATTTTAAATTTGACACAGTCACACTTGGTTTATTTTTTTATATGCCAGTAGGCATTACAAAATTCTATCACATTGCACTAATTCATAGAATAAATCAATGAAGTCTAATAGTTACAGCTCACCCAGGAGCATCAACAGACCAAAAGCCCTGATCTTATGCCCCTGAACATCCTTATGAACATCAAAATAAGGTATTACAATCGAAGCAAAAACGTTACATTTTAAACTTAGATAGCAATATAGTTAAAACTTTATTTATTTTTGTTTTTTTTTGTCACTGCTTATTAGGGAAGGCTCCGGTCTGCGATGGGGCTTCTGAGTAATCATTATACATGAGAGTCTAAGTGCACTCTAGAATGATCAGAATGACTTTCGAGTGCTCAATTAAAGCCCCACTGTGATTTAGTCGTAAGTTTCATACCTTTGAGCACTGAAAACACCCTTCACAAACCAGAGACGGTCCTACAATTTTTTGGTAATCACTCGAAGACAATATCAATGATGTAACTCTCTAGCTCATCTTGAACATACATGTCATGTTTACTATTTATTAAACCTAATTTCTGAAAAACAGAAATATATTCGAGTAGTTGAAAACTATAAATACTACTGCTTCTAATGCGTTTATTCTAAATTTTCCCATTGTTGCGGGGTTGTACATCCAGTAATCGCGTCAGCAATGGTTCAGATGAGGGAATATTTTATAGCATTCACGCTAATAAATGGAGGTTAACACGTGTTTTTATGCTATTCGATTAAAGGAGTCTGTTGATTTGAAGTCTTAAGTATTCAGGTCTCGTTCAACGCAATCGATCCAGAATTTTTCAGGCCTTCCTGCTCGTCTTTTCCTTTGAACTGAAACATGGTCTGTTGATTTTAGCCTATGGTCCTTTTCTTTTCGATGAACAGAGCCATACCATCGTAGCTGCGACCGCTTTTGTAGCTTGCCGAGATCATGAAGATCTGTCATTTTAATTACTGCTTCGTTGGTAACTCTGTCTTATAAGTAACTCCAGTAATTCTACGCAGATTGTTCATATCAGCAACCTTAAGAGAGCTTGATATTGCCTTCGTCTGCGCCCAGGTTTCAGAGCACCGCATCAGAAATGGCCGGAGACAAGCTCCGTAGATATGACGCCTTGTAATGAAGTCAATATGTTTATTCGGCAACAGAGGCGCAGTTTGCCTCCATTTTGTCCAGAAAGCTGCTATTCCGACTATGATGCACTTATAGCGTCACTTTCAACGGAAATCATATCACGCAATTAGCAGAAATCTTTGACAGTACTCAGAGTTTCAAACTGATTAATCCGTAGAGTAGAATTCTGATTTGAGTGATAATTGGAAGAATAATTGGATCTTGCACAAATATAATAATCATTATCTTAGGGTATTTTTCTCAGGCTCCTGCTTTTTTGTCCACCCATTGATTAAAAGAATTGCAGCGTATTGAATTAGCACCGACTCCCTTCAAACAACAAGCGCATGGATATTTTCCGGGTTTTTTGAAGAATAGACTTATCTTTGTCTCTGAAGAATAGACTTATCTTTGATACTATGCTTTGTCTTATCCTCATTGATTTTTAAATCGCGTTTTTGCAAATCTTTTTCCAAGTATTAAATTTTTCAATAGACTGGGATTCCGTTTCAGCGGATATCACAATGTCGTCTGCATATAGTAAATCCCATGGTACATGGAACGAAAGTTTCTCGTAGCCTCTACCATTAGTATTATGATTTACAATGGGCTAAGTGCAGCTCTTTGATGCTCGCCTGCGCAGTTTCCATTTAATCATTGCATCCTTGGGGACGGAGAACTCAGGTTTTTGACTCGGTGTACAGACTCATTATTAGTCGTACCAGTTTTTCGGGTACTCTGTTGCCTCAGAGCCCATGGGGTGAGTTCCCTGGGAACACAGTCGGAGGCGTTTTCGGGATCATCAAATATGTGAAGCTGTGGTTTTTTTTTGTCCCGCAATTAGTTCCTTGTATTGTTTATTGATCTACTAATGAGAAAACCAAGTTGCATGTCATCTATTTTTATCAATTGTCTCAGACGTTTTCTAATACTTGCTCGAAGTTTTCAATTGAGTGATCTAGTAATCGGATGCCACTATAGGATCCACATTCTAAGGGATCTCCTTTTCCTTTGTAAGAAGTAACAGTTTCACTTTCGATCCAGTCGGAGGTGATAAGGCCAGAGTGCCAGACTTCCTTAAGGACTTCAAAAAGTCCAACAAGTCTACAATTTCCGGCAAGTTTTATCATGTACGAAATTAGCTCTATTGGTCGTGGGCTTTTCTTAATTTTAATCTCGCTCAGTGCAAGTGCAACTTTCTGGATAGTAAATTGCTCTAATTGGCGTGCCACTGGGGGGATATCTTTCGTTTCAAACGGATTTGTTTCCTTTAAAAGATATGAGAATTAGTTTCGCCACTGCGATAGAAAATCTTGGTCACAAGTCAGGATTTTTCCATCACATTTGATTAATTTTGCTGCAAACACGTTCTTTTGATCGTTTTTCATTTGCTTGTCAAGGCGGAACATTTTATTCCGTGTCTCTGTTTTTCAGAGATCTTGACAACATTTCTGGCGGGATTGAAGCATTGAGCTAGTAGCTACTTTACTTCTGCTTCTGCTCTGTCTCCGATATCATTTCCAGACTTCTGCCAGTTTTTTCTTTTTTAATTCCTTTTGGCTTATTTTCCTTTCCACTATGTTTTTCTTTTACTCACTGGTTTTACGTTTGTTTCGCCACATACGTTTTTCGCTTCTTCTAGCATAGTTAATTTAAAAATGTCCCAGTCGCCCTGGATATGTTTGTAATCTAGCTTCCTTCTTATTGCCGCTTTGTATTTAGTTTGGGTTTCTTTTTAATTCAGTTTCCACGATTTTATTCTTCTAACTGTTTTTGAGTTATGGCGGTAATTGTGAACTTTACAATGGAAATCACTTGAAACAAGTCTGTGCTGAGTATCAAATTTGTGATACAGTTTCTCTGCTACAGTCGTGTTAGAATGAGATCAATCTGGTTGGAGTGTTCTCCAATATGAAACATACAGTAATCATCTTCGCAGCGTTTTTGAAGAAAGTGTTTTGGAAGGCTAGTTTTTGTGACTGGCAGAAATTGAGAAGTTTCTGACCTTCTGCGTTTTGAGTACCAATTCAAAATGGGCCAGTTTCGCATTCAAATTCCTGGCGCTACTCACCGAAGTATTCATTAAAGTCACCACACAGGAAAGTACATTCTTGGTCAGGTAGAGAACATTACACACAGTATGCCCTAATACAAGTCTTAGGCGCATAACGCGTTATTTACTCTACTGACTTCCAGAACAGTTTCAATAAATCGAGCATTGATGGCTATTGCAAATCCATTTGAGCCTTCTGAGTTTCCGTGCCAAAAAAACTTAAATTTGTGGTCGCCATCTCCAAAACTTCTTGTGCTGCTTTCTTTGAAATGATTTTCTTGTAGAGAGCACACCGATATCCTTCTTCTTTCTGGACTTTTGCATACCTCAAGGCATTTTTCTTTTAGTGTACCAACGTTCCACGGGCATAGTCGGAACGAATTTTTTTCTTGGGTGGGTTTTCGTCTTATACATAATAGTATGATTCATATTAGTAGTTGAAGTCGTGAGATTCTCAGCACCTCCTCCCCATTTAAGGGGCACACGGGACTGAGGGTTATTGCTTGTTTGATTTTCCGTGAGTTGTTTGCAGCGGTGCCCTTTTCAGAGCAGTTTCAGACCGAAGTCTTTAAGACGGGATGCCCTTCCTGACGTCTACCCTCCTCCTTTTTCCGCGTTTAGTACCGGCAGTTCTATCTTAAAAGCAAGACAGAATAGGCGGAGTTGAAAACTGTTGATAGTCTACGTCTTATCATTAGTTTCACCCCCGTGCCACTGGTATACTGAAATAAAATTCCCAGCGACGAGCTTCGAAGTTCCCTCTTTTTTTGAAATTATATTAGGTTCGGATTGCTGTTCACAATCATTTTGCACCCTTTCAACCTTAACACTTTCTCGATATCGCTAATTGAAAATATTGCGGCCTAATCTCGGTTGCAGTTTAAGAATTGGGGTCAAATTGCTAATAGATGTGCATCCATACACAAGCACGCCATTTTGAACTACTGGTTTAATTTTAAAAATTATTGAAATTGAAGACGTGTTTTTGATGGAAAATATATTTGATATAGTACATAAGTCCACAATATTAAGCATTTTTGATGAAACAAACTGAATACGAACTATGGAGTTGAATTTCTCAGATACATGTATACCCAAATATTTGGCAGATTGAACCTGTTCCGTTTTCGTACCGTTTATTTTTGTATAAAGGTTTTCTGTTGAGGTATTGCTGAGTTTAATAACTGTTGTTTTATCTTGGTTTAGTGTAAGACTGTTGGGTTTCAAACGTTGGTTAACATTTTCCAGATCTTGTGAAATTGAGTCAATTTTTCTACTGTTGACTTATAGCTGTATCATCGGCAAACAAAACCCCCCTTTGTACCATCACAACGTTTGGGTAAATGATTGATGTAGATTAGAAACAAAAGAGGTCCTATTACTGAGCCTTGCGGCACACCTTAATTTTTTGGTTTTCAGTTGGAAGAAAAATTACCTAATTTGCCTATTGCAATCGGTGAATTGAATTTTCACTAAAGTTTATTAGCATTGCCTCTGCATCCGTATATTTCGAGCTTTGAAAGAAGCTTCTGATGATTCAGTGTCGAACGCTTTCTGGAAGTCTAAAAAGCAGCCCGCTGGTTTAATGTTTTTCACAAAGTAAAGCTGAATACTGTCAATAACAGAAGCAAGAGCGTCAACAGAGGACATTTTTTCACGAAACTCAAACTGACATTCTGAAAGCACTTGAAATTTCATGTCACCGTTTATTATGAATGATTTTGAAACGGGTTGGAATATGATCATGATTGCTTGCCTTGAGGGCTGGAATGTCGTTGAGTCTCTGGAACTCGGACCAGTCCTTGACCTGGTTGTTGCTCATGTAGAGTATCTGCAGCTTCTTCAGCACATGTACTCCCTTCAGTTTCTCAATCAAGTTGTAGCTGATCCACAGCTCCACTAATGTCTCGCCCACTGCCTCCAGACCAGACAGAGCCTAAACAGATTCTCACAATGTTTCAACACTTTACAAAGGTTGCTGATTGGTGTGCAATCAGCGCAGTTGCGACCATGCATCTGCTCTTAAAACAAGCTCTAGAAATCATTCTGAAAGTTGTTCGCCTATCGTTGTTACTTTCTACTTGTTTTCTGCAAATTACCCTGGTAGTCCGAAGGCTCATGGGAGTAGTTTATTGCTTCAGAACTGCTCTTCAATCGTTTTTTTTTACACATTTTGAGTAATTTTCCTTGGCAATTTTAATGCTATGAGTTACGAGAGAAAGAAATTAAGCATTTCACTTGACTCCGTATTCATTAAAAAACACCCATGACAATTGTTTCTATGCAATAGTTTTTTCTGTTCGGCGTTAACGAAGACTCTAGGTCTCAGTATTTGCTGAATTTTATCTAATGCTCAAATAAATATGAAACGTACATTTTAGATTAATTTGACATGAGCAAGCATTGTTTTCGCCATTTATCAAAAAGGTAACTTCATTTTGGTTCTTTGTAATATACGAAATGAAGGAAAAACTAGGTTGGTTGTTTTTCATTTGATGAAAAATGTTCTCAAAAGAAAAATAAGATTTGAAGCTCCTGATGGTTGCCCCATTCTGATTTCTTAGCCCGTCAAATTTTTTCATTAAAATCATTTAATTTTGACCGAAAATTTGCAGGTTTTGTTCCGGATCAAGGTCTACAGTGACAGATTATCCCTGGCTATCCCAACCACTAGAAACAGTCTCCTCCTCTTCGTCCGACCCTCATTTAAAGAGGCCACAGCATGAAGGTCATCAGAGTGCAACACAAGTGACAACACTGTCCAATGGAGTGCGCGTCGCCACGCAGGCAGCAAAAGGTCAATAGTTTGTGTAAATTTTGATCAATATTCAAGCTTTACTTTGTCCGTAAAATAAGATTTGTGAATCACTTCAGATATTATGAGAGACGTTTACGAATGTATTGACTGCTGTTATCATAAAAAGATACGAAGCAAACAAAAAAAAACAAATTTTCGGTTTTTGATTTTTTTAGGGCAAAATGGTCATTTCGAATTTTGATTTTGACAAAATGGCCTTAGCTCCTTTTGATTGACAGAAAATGGTGTTCAGAGTAACATACATCAGCATGAATGTGTAACATAAATCAGCAAACAACTCAATTTAATATTTTTGCTGTTTTTGTATGCATGGCTTAATTAACCGATCAAAATAGTTTTCAGTCTTAGTATTACAGAAAGGATGAATGATTAGAAGCGAAGCGTTTTATTGGCGTTTTAATTTTGTTGCAGGAAACTTCTGTACCCTCGGGGTGGGTGTTAGTGCTGGCAGTCGTTTCGAGATGTTCTCGCCTGCTGGAGTGACTCACTTCCTGGAGAAGATGGCATTCAGCTCCACTGCCAACTTTGACTCCAAAGACCTCATTCTACAGAAACTAGCCCAGCACGGGGGTTAGTCAGCAAAATTGGCGACGGAAGATTGATTGGAATTTACATTCATATTAATGAACCAAATTTAACACACTTTGTTCAAATTTAACAAAATATTTTATGCCGAAGCCATTTAACTATATAATTCGAGTGGTTTAGTATATTTCACTTACCAGTTCGAAACCAACCACGCTACGATCATAGAGAACTTATTGTTCTCCCATTTTTTCATATACTTGAGAGCAAAAGATTCTGGTTGGCTTAAAACTTCACCTCAGATCACAGCCAAGTTAACTTTCTCATACTTTTCTTTTGCCTCCTCAAATCTACTAGTGATTCTCTGAATGTCTTCTTTCATTGTTTTAGGAATCTGCGACTGTCAGTTCTCTAGAGATGTCGCCTTCTATGCCCTCTCTGTTTCAAATAGGGGAGTGGAAACAGGTCTCGACATCCTCAGCCAAGCAGTACTGCACCCCCAAATAACAGAACAAGAAGTGGAAATGGCACGCAGTCTCGTCGATTTCGATCTACAAGTCAGTACTTTGAGATGATAATTTGTTTGAACGTGCTGCTGGGTTTGAGTTCAGGTTTAAATTGAAGGTTCTATTAGTGGTAGCTTGCACTTATGTGAGATCACGGTCTCAGCTATTCTTAACTTTATTGGCGCAGTTTTCTGTTCTGAGCTCATGCATACATGTGTGCTCCCTAGCTTTAATGTTCTGACCCAAATTATATTTGAAGGCGTTAAAGACTCCAAGTCTTTCTTGAATACCCTAGTCTCGATATTTCAGGACCACGAAGAGTCTTTAGCGAGAATGCAGCCGGATGTTCTTCTGCATGACATGATCCACAGAGCGGCTTTCAGAGGAAACACCGTGGGTCTGCCCAAGTTCTGCCCGAAAGAGAACGTGGAGAAGATGCAAAGAGATGATCTGAGAAGCTACTTGGCAACTTACATGCAACCCGAGAGAACTGTCATTGCCGGTGTTGGTAAGCTGTTTCATGCAAACGTCTCACATGTTTTGAAGAGTGTCTAGAGTTTGTATTCCTCCAGTAAAATGAAAATAGTCTATGTATTTCTTTAAAAAAGTGTCTCCTGGATGATTAAATTAGTTTATCTTTTTGGGCTTATTTCGAAATTTTTTGGAATTTCTCTTCGCTACTTGACGAAACGTTGGCTTATCCCCAAAACTTGAGTAGTTGAGCAAAAATCATGCGGCTGTGTGCTTAGGCGTGGACCACGATGAGCTGTGCAAGCTATCCGAGAAGATGTTTGTGTTTGGGGATGCCTCATTCAGAGATGCAGAGAAAGTGGAGGTAGATGAGTCATTGGCACAGTACACTGGGGGAGAGCTGAGGATCGACAAAAGACTCACACCCGTCACAGGTACAATACAAGCAATCGTTTAGCTCTTTCTTTCCTGATGCCTGTGCTTTTTTATGCTCTAAACTGGTTTTTTTTCGATGGTGAAAGAGATTATGTAGTCCCGATTTGGCTCGATCCTTTTCTTTCCTTATTTTTCCGACTTTCGAAAAAAAGACGGAAAATTTGGGCTCGGGCGGTTTTTTCTCCAGTGATATATTTTTTAACTTGTTTGGCTTGCAGTTTTAGTTATTGTTCCGATTTTTGAAGAGAGTGATAAAACCTTTATTCCCATGTCGGCTTTGTTTTCACTTTAGACCTATTTCGACTGTTTAATTAACCGTTTTTTCTGGAACTTTTCACCATCTCGAAATACATTGATGCCATGTGCTCAAACTTTCAAATGATAGTTCACGGGCTATTATTTTTCATAAAGTTATGGGGTAAAAAGGCGAGCTATATTTCCACAGGGTGCAAATTAATTCGGCTCATCACTCCAAATTGTTTTGAGGCCAGCTAATTTGCTGAGAAACTAGATGTGAATTACATTATTTTGTACTTAAAATTACATTAGTGAAAAGATTAACGCAAAAAATGGAGAAAATTTAATCGATTTTATCTAAACCAAAAACTGTTGCAGATAGTTTTAACGGAAGTCTCAACACTAAGGTTTTTGCCATGATGAAGTCTTCTTTGATTTTCAATTCTTGAAAAATATTTTGACCTGCTGTTTCTTTTAATCCTAGGCTGATGTTCAATATCAACTCGTAGAAATCCTACAGGTTCCAACCCAGGAAATTAGTCTCAAGGTCGCTCATTCTAGCCATTATTTTTTTCCGAACTGGATTTGAATTTATTTCAGTGTTCTTCATGTGTTCTCAGGTGTTTCATTAAGTGTGGAAACTTTTCGAAACTAAACTAGATTTCGTTATTCTCTTTACTCGTGATTGTTTTTTTTGCAAGCTAGAGTTGTTACATGATTGGGTTTTGTTCAAGCAGCGTATTAACACTGGCGGGCGTTGTGTTCAATTACGTGGTCAACTTTTTTCCAATCCAATAGGCAAATACAAGTGCTCATTTTGTTGTCAGTTTTTTGCATATGTTGGCAGTTTATTGGCTGTGTTCTCCACTTTAGTGACTAGTGTTTCTGTAGGATTCAGTGGCACAGTTGCATATATAAGTCTACTTTAATGCTTGGATGTGCGAGGGCTGTGCTTTAAGGTCGTTTATTTCTCAAAACCCATTAGGTTTTTTTTGTCTTTTTTCTCTCAATCGCCTTAGAGCTAATTATTGGTCTTTTTGTATGTGTTTTTTTTTTCAATTGCAGCTGCGCCACTGTGTTTGAATTTGTAAAAATTGAGAAAACGTGTTTTTTCTACTTAACCTCCTTATATTTGTTAATTCTGTCTATTTATTTGAAATACGACAGAGATTGTAACTTTTTCCTTTTTCTTCCCCTTTTTTGCTCTGTTACTTAAGCGCGCTCTCGAGTGTAGTAATATACGGTCAGTCCACAATCATAACCGCTCAGTTGCACATTTTAGTGCGAAATATTTGTGCCAATGACATCAAAGTTTAGGTTATCAGGACATGTTTATACTTTTTTGAAGGTATCGATAGCATAAGATCAAGTACAAGAAGGTTTTAAGCTGCGATTAATTTTCGTGAAGTTTTAGAGAGTTGAATTTTGGCAATCTGTCAATTTGATCGACCAAATTATTCCCGGCTGTGTGCTCTAATCTATAACAAGACTGCTCGTATCAAGTAAATTTTCACGATATTTTCTCTATCGTCAGCTTAATGTGTTTTTACGAACCTTCTTTTTTCTAACTTAACAATCCGCAAATGAAAGTGTTCATTAAAAGTGTTCATTTATCTGGAAATTTTATTGCAGCATTGAAAATTGCATAGCATCTGTTCTCTGCTTTATTTGTTGCTGGTGTTTATTCTTCTATCTTCTACGAATTAATCAGCTTCCGTGATTGGTTTGTGTGACTCTTAATCTTAAAGTTGCAGGTTCGAATCACAGATATAGCCGAATTTTTGCTAACTCGAGGCCTATTTATACTTTTTCTTATTCTAGTTTATAAAATTGCTTTTTCTCGTGTTCTGGCTAGTGTTTGCGAAGCGAAGCTTCGCCTCTGTGTGAAAAAATGGTTTTTTCTTTTTAAAATCTTCTCATACGCCCTTTGTAAGCTATAATATGATAAATTTTGCATCTACTGACTTGATATTTGGAGCAATTAACTTGCCGTAGTTTGACTTTGATAGATTTCCAACCAGACTCATTTTATTGCATTTGCTGGGCATTAATGTTGACGTTTTTTGCGCATTTTCATCCTAAATTGGATATTTGTAAACACTAATTAACGAAAAACGTAGTTGAGCTGTTATCAAAGTTATGTCAAAAATGGCAAATGATAAATCTAAATTGGTCTGAATGGAAAAAAAACTCCCCCAAGCCTGCATATTCCGACACTTTCTTCAAAAGTTGGAACAAAAAATGCTCATAGCGTTTGTGTGAGTTATAAAAGCGCGGGTAATCGATCCAAATATCAATGGACTTAGATGATCTTTGTAAATCGAATTGAAGCAAGAGTATTGGTCCCAATAATTTGCTCACTAGACTCAAATTTAAGTTCAATTTTTTGTGAAAACTTGGAGTGAGTTTCTTTCAAGGAATATTTGTGTGAGTTTTATGTGCCTTCTTAGAGCCCCTTTTTGCTCTTTTTTCGCTTGTTTGCGAACGCAGCTTTAACTTGTGTATTAACTTAGCGTTTAACAAAAATTATGATTTAACCATTTATTTTATAAGGTTTGGAGGGAGAGGACTTTGAAAGGACTTTTTTTTCAAATTGAAAAGTAACAATCTATCGCGGGGAAAAAGATACCTGAATAGTCGTTTAAGATTATGTTGATTTATATTAGGTGGTGACAACCCTCTTCCAGAGCTAGCTCACGTGGTCATTGGCCTTGAGAGCGTACCCTCTCTGCACAAGGATTATGTGCCAGCGACAGTGCTGAGTTTCGTCATGGGAGGAGGCAGTTCATTCTCAGCTGGCAAGTTCACAGTCCTTAACTCACTAATTTTCGGTCATGAATCGAAAGCTCAGAATCAAAGTAGAAATTAAATCTGGGTGCCATCAAGAAGATTTATACTCTGAATAAGATAATCAAGTGCCATGCAATTATGTTGCCATTTTGCAGTCAGAGAAGATTTCTGCATTTAATTCTTTTCTCGGTTGCGCCGTTTTTAAAAGCACCGTTTTGTGTAACTGTTATGAAAAATAATTATAAGCTGTTCGACTGTAAGTATTTTCTATTTCGGTAAAAAAAATCCGTAAAAGGTAATCGTTTTTTTGATCATTTTTGAATATCTATTTGCAAGTAAGTTTTTTAATCTTAATGAACGCCTGAGGACGTTCTTATCTTGAGTTTGCTTTTGAAATTTTTTTACAAAAACTGTTGTCCAATTTTCCTATTTTACTAAGACTGTCAATTATTCCTAAATTCAAGTTTTTCGATCAGATCCTTTTATCGCACCACGGAGAAAAAAACGACAGTAATTTGAAAAAAGATTACTTTTTGTTCTTTGTAAGGTCAGTTCATTTCTTTTGTTGAAAGGAGGGCAAACTTCGTGATCGAACAGCAGGTAAGAAATTTACCTATCGATCTAGTGTTCTCAATTGGGTCACTTCCAATCATAAGTAATCCCAATTCAAAGAACTTTGAGAGTATCTATTTTTTCTTCGAATTTCGAGTTGAGATTTTTTCAAAAAACGACGGTATTTTTTTCATCGACTCTTTTCCAGCTGTCTGTTGGCTGTGTTGTATTAAGAGACCAAGACATGGGTTTCAGCCTGATGGCTGAAATCTCTGTCTTGATTTGTTTTCAAAGTACTCAATACTATGTCAAAATTACATGCACAGAAAGATTAGGGTTAATTTACAAGTCATAAAGAGTTCCTCTATTACTTAAACCAGTTTTCTATAAGAATTCTTTTCAGTTCTGGCGAAGAACTATTTTCTCGCACTTCTATTAGCTGCCTTTTACAAGTCTTGATATCATACAATTATTGAAGCCGTCGTCATCCCTTTTTACATACATTGCATACATTGTCGATTTAATGGGTTAACATTGAGTTTTTTAGTTGAGGTGTAATATCTGGTCTTCATCTGCAAAAACCGCAATTTAACACCAGTTATACTCCCAGGCTGAACTTTTCCCGGTAGAATGGGCTAAGCTGTTGTTCCAAATATCTTTTTGATTGTCTCAATAGTCACCACGCTAGTTTTCCTTGCATCAAAACGGATGCTCAATAGCAGCAAACAGTCTTTGTCTGTGTAAAGCTCTTAGAATCAGCATGTCTACTATTCTCACTGGTTTTTCTTGTGTTTTTAAAACTTTTTCCTACACAATTTTGTTCTCCAATTTCAATTGAGCAACTTTTTTTTAAATAAGTTTTCGCACTTTTTCGTCGACGTTAATGTTACTCATCTCCAACTGAAGTAACTGCTGCTCACTTCTATCCGTTATATACTCGACAAAATTAATCAATGTACAAAACAATCAATGTCTGTATATAGTGTGTGTAATTGATTCATTTGAATTCAGGAATCAATATTGATAGTTTTTTAGTTGAAATACTTTGTTTATGATAATATACTCTTTCATTTTAAACAAGTGGAACAGTTTTGTTTCAAGTTTGATTCAAACGAGGCCAAAAAAGTAAGCTGTCGAAAATTCAATTACTCTTATTAAGGTCAACCGACTAGTCAGCTCGAAAGATGTTGCGTCAAGTAATACACTACTAACCAATCTTAATTCATCTCACGAAACCCATTTTCATTAGGAGTGTAAGTTTTCCAAGCATGCAGACTTGCTATTTTATTGGAAATAGTCAATCTCATTTATAACCTCTCGAAACACTTTTGTGTACACTAGCAAGCAGCGAATTGTATTAGTACCAAACTTTTTTTTCTAATTACACTAACCAGCAGCGTAGTGTATTAGTACGGACTTTATTTTTCCTAATCTAACTCGCAAATAAAAGTTTTCATTAAAATTATTCACTTATTTGTTGGCACTTTTGCTATAATCACGATCTCTAGCATTAGAAAATTCATTGCATCTGTTCTCTGCTTTATTTATGGATAGGGTTTGTTATTATACGTGCGTGGCTGAATGGGTAATGCGTAAGACTCACTATCTCTAGGTTGCAGTAGGTCGCAGATCGAATCCGAGACGGAAATACCGGAACAGAAAGCCGATTTTTTTCTACTTCGAGGCTTATTTCTACTTTTTCTTATTGCAGTTTATAGAGCTGCTTTTTGTGTTCTCGCTTGTGTTTGCGAAGCTAAGCTTCGCCTCCGTGTAGAAACATTGAGACTATGAAACAAGAGTGAAACAAAAGGAAGTTGATATTTGCCTAAACAGCATGAATTTATCTGCCCTAAAAAGATAGCGCAATAGACGATGTATCGGAACAGAAATTATTTTATGAAAAAGTAAACTTTTGGACACATCTCAACTTGACAGCCTTGTTTTAAAATGTTCATGCTTCAATTTACTCTAGAATACTTTTCTCAAATCTGTTCGCTTGTTCAAACCCACGTGTATTCGTATGATTTATTCAAACCCACGTGTATTCGTTCGGGGAGCGGTGGTGAAGTGGTTACGTCTCCGCCTCTCAATCGAAAGGTCGGATGTTCGAGGCCCACCATGATCCGTTCTCGTTGCTAGAGGGTGAAGAAACATTACCCAACCCAGAAAAATACCAAAAAAATTGCATGTAGTTCTTTAACAGGGGCACAACAGCGGTTCGCCGTGATGAGCTGTACAGCTCTTGTGTTGGTCCTTTCCCCCGTGGATAAATGGTCTCAATCTTAATTTACTCAAACATTTATTTTGCAAAAAAAGTTCAGAGGAGTGAATTTCAGCAAACTAAAAAGCCATGTGATAGCCAAGCAAACTAAAAAGCCAAGCTGAAGCCCAGTCTATCACATGGCTTTTTAGTTTGCTGAAATTCACTCCTCTGAACTTTTTTTGCAAAATAAATGTTTGAGTAAATTAAGATTGAGACCATTTATCCACGGGGGAAAGGACCAACACAAGAGCTGTACAGCTCATCACGGAAATCGATGAGTCACAAGTGTCATTTCATAAGATTTTTTCAAGATTTTTCTTTTTGTCGCTTATAGGAGGTCCTGGCAAAGGAATGTACTCGCGGATGTATCTGAATGTGCTGAACAGGAGACACTACGTGCAACATGCCTCAGTCATCAACTTCCCCTACCACGACTGCGGACTATTCGCACTGCAGGTGAGATAAAGAATTGTAATCAACTCATCACTCTGAGTTCCTGAATGTTGGTACTGTTGTTCGAGGTAACACTATGTGTACTAATGTGTCTCTTTGCGCTTATGTCCGCTCGCCTATTCTTCAATGAGTTCTTATTCTGGTCTTAATCTCAACTCCTAGAATGCGACCTAGTCAGTATCGAACCCGGCACTTCAATCTCAATGTCACTAACAACCATGCTATGAGGCCCTGGCAGTTCGATTTAATATTATTTTTTATAGAGAAGTGTTTAAAGGTGCGAATAACGAGGTTTACGTTAAATAAATGTTTACCGGTAGAACGGTCCATTGCATTGGATCTTAGAAGTTAACCATTTTTTTGTTCTAGGCTTAATGAGACACCTGAAAACGGGCCATGTTGGCTTAATGGTGTTCTCCCAAACGATTCCAATTTGTATTTGTAAATTTGGGGGTAGAGAAATTGGACGATAAGCAAATTAGACGGAGGCACTTGAAAGGAAATTAGACAATTTTGCAAAACTGCAATTGTGAGAAAATAGACGAAAGTGTGAGAGCGATTAAAATTGTTCGCAGACAAATTGCGTGAAAAAAAAAATATTTTCCAGACAACAATTAAATTTCGGTGGCCAAAAATTTTGCATGTCAATTATGCATAATTTATTCAATGCGAAAATCTCTTGTAATTTTCGGATTTGACATTTTATGTTCATTTTAACTAATTGTTTTGATAGGTATTGACATTTTATGTTCTTTTTGTGACTCTTAAGAAAAAATTTTGTTGGCCCTTTCCTTTTAGCAAATGCCAGATCTGTTAAAAAGTTTCGTCTAATTTCGTTTTTGTAGCATCCGTCTAATTTGCTTATCATATAATTTCCTAGGCCCCGTAAATTTTTTTATAAATAACTCTGTAACTAGATATCGTTTGGAAACAATTTATTATTATTATTTGTTTTCTAGTTACATTGTTGTTCTTTCGTGGAATAAGGGAAATATATGACATAGAGTTTAACAAAGCCTATGTTTTCTCTTGTCTATTTTGATTGGGAAAACAAAATAACGGAAACTATATAACCCTAAAACATAAGAGTCTATGTTTGTTTGGGGAAAGTTTTTAGTAGTCCCTGGATGTGATCCATTTAAAAGAGCCGACGAATTGGATAAAAACAGTGGCCTGTTTGTAGCTCTCATGTGAGCCCCAGTTCATCCGGGACACGGTGAGAGTGGGGGTGCAGGAGTGTCTGAATATGGTGGAGCAGACAGCAGAGGAGGGACAGATGGGGGAGGAGTTGGAGAGGGCCAAGAACCAACTGAAGAGCATGATGTTCTCCAACTTGGAGGTCAAACCAGTCCAGATGGAGGACATAGCCAGACAGATACTCAGCCAAGGTAAACCAACTCAACCTTACTTACATCAATTGTCAATAAATACTCATAATTACTTGCATCACACACTACTAGTTTGGATAATTTCATTTCTTTATGGGTTAAATTTAATTGAATTTAATGAAACTAATGAAATTATAAAGTAATTTTTTTGGCACAACACATCTTTTCTCACTTTGATAAATGGTGTCAAATTTCAACATCATTGAACGATAAGCTCTCGGTCTTCTCAGATGCTCTGGTCTCTTAGTGCAACTGAAGTGTATGCACCTTAAGCCTTAACATGTTGAAAAATTTAAAAAAGTTATCAGTAAGAATATGTTGATAATATCTTTACACTCAATTGTAGACTCTCGGTGATATTATTTTCGCCCTTCTTCTATTCTCTTCTCGTTCATTGTGTTGTTTTTATATATATGTTTGATGATGATATAGCATACATGATTTTGGAGAAATAAATTCTTTCTTTCTTAATTCTCGGCTAACTATCTGTTTTCAGGTTTTAAACGAGAGCCCAAAGAGATCTGTGAGATGATTGACAGTGTGACTAAAGAAGATATAGTGAGAGTTGCGGACCAGTTGATTGCATCCAAGATATCAGTGGCTGCCCTTGGACAGGTGTCAGATGTGCCAACTCAGAGAGACATCACTTATGCTTTCATAAACAATGCAAAACTGCCTGATGATAAAAAGTCCAAATTTAAATTATACTAGGCTTTTTATTCCAAACAGACCATGTCTAGGGAAGCGCTCTTTCAAATTAATAGTGATTAGGGACGTTTTTTTTAATTGCCAATTTGAAGTAATCATTTTGCGCAGATTTCATTTTTCATTTCATGTGTAGCCTCGTTATGTGACAAATAAACCTGGTTCTGCTATCAATCGGAAGTGATTTGAGGATAAATAATTGATCCAACATTTGCCGTAAAAAATTCAAATGTTATCATTTTGTACGTGACATTGCGTGTGATCATTGCGTGTGAACCTCTTGATAATTGCGTGACATTGCGTGTGCGAAGACAAAAAAATAATGGCAAAATTTTATCTTTCGTCCAAAAACACAATTTTTTTGCTTTTATCTACAATGAAGACTGGTTGGAACAATATGTAATAGTTACTCATCGACCGGCTCTTCATGGTACATCGTGAAAATGATTTTTGAGTCTTATTTCTGTGTCCTTAATTAATTCTCCCGTTAATGCCATTTTCGATTTTTTATTTGCCGTTTTTTGCATGTATCTGCGAAGTGCAGCTTCGCCGCCTCTGCGTTTACACAAGCTAGCGTAACTTTATATGGCAAATACTCATTTTTGCCCAATTCGGAAATAAAAAAGCTCATTCGGTGGCTTGTTTGCTGCAAGCACTGGCAATTTATTACCTTAAACGAAAAAACAAGACAACAACAAATTGGAACTGCTCAAAGTACCAAACCCATAAATGCCGCGCAACAGCAATTACGGATGGAGAAAACTTTATTGAAACGAGGGGTCAACATAATCACGATATTTCCACGGGCAAACCTGATGCTCGACTAGTTTTGAAAAACATCAAGGAGCTAAGCGACAGTAACACCCCAACCGTCGCAGTCGCAACCGCCATTCAGCCAATTACAGACAACATTGCCACTCAACTAGCCCTACCATCCAAAGAAAATTTAGTTCGCACCGCACAGCGAGCGCGCAAGCAACGAGAAGAAGTCTTACCAGTCTCCCCAGCAACCAGAAGTTTCGAAATACCCGAACTTTTCAAAAATTTTATAAGATTTGACAGTGGGCAAAATGATCACGAGAGGAGATCACGAGAGAGAAAGCGTAGATTAATTCTGTCGGCGCCAAAAGATCAAGGTCGAAATACAAATGGTTTTGGATTGTTTTGTATATGCACCAATATGAGTCATGTCGGTCGGATTCGTTTTCAAGTTCATATCAAAGTCTAGACTATCGGCAAGGTCATTTCTGTTCAAATCTAAAATGTTAACATTTAGCAGCGTGCATGGTAACTCATTTTGGTTCGCAAAATTTTTCGCAATTAAAGCTTTGATGTTTACCGACGATATGGTTCCGAATCTTTTTCAAGTAACTTTCACTTTGATTCTAACAATTGGTTTTAAAAAGGGGTTAAAATGTAGTGGGGTTATCTGATTTTGGAGTTATATGAGAGGGGGTTAAGAAAAAGGGGGTTACAAAACACGGGGTGATAAGCTTGGGAACCTTTAATAGCATCTGTTCTATCTATATTGATGGCTCGTGTAGACTCAATTTAATCGCCCAGATGCGAGGGTACATGCAAAAAGGAACCTCGGAGTCTCCAGATTGACGGCATGATTCAGACACATAGCAACAGTTTTTGTTTTCAAGTCCTATTTTCCCTTTTCTTATCTTAGTCCACTTGCAGCTAGTTTTCCTGTTTTCTAGCTTGTGTCTGCAATATACAGATTTGCATCTGTCTAATGCAACGTTATCAGCAGAAGCGGTGCCCAACAATACGTACGCTGTTGAGGTTATTATCGCATTCCGTTTTGAATTTGAAATTAAAAATCTTGGCGTTAAAGGTAGTTTACTCAAAATTGTGTGCAGCTACCTCAACCAGAAAAAACAATTCGTGACAATTGACAAAACTCTGTCAGAAACTTTAAACCTGCATAGTGGTGTACCGCAAGGCTCTCTCCGAGGGCTTTTGTTGTTTATCATATACATTAACATAAGCAGTGAGATGCAATCTAAAGCTTTTGGATACGCCGATGGCTATAAATATATTTCAACTAACCAAATGTCATTTCATCATGACTTGGAGACGCTCCTTAGATGATGTGATCAGAACCGTATGACCCTCAATATCGATAAATGTAATCTTATGAACTTTAATGGACAACAGAGTCTTCTGCTTAAAGAGCAACGAGTAAGCTGTCGCAAAAACCAGAAAAATCTTGGTATAATCAGGTGCGGCTTTTTGTGGCATGAAAACACAAAAAGACGCGCGCCGAGAGCAGTGAAAACGCTTTTCTTTATTAAAAAAAATATTTGTGTGTCTAACAATTAAGGGTAAGCTGAATTGTTATGTTGCATATGTAGTACCCATTCTTACATACGGTGCTCAAGAAGTCTTCCTGAACAAAACAGAAATGAAAAATCATTGAACGCATCCAGAAAAAAGCTATGCCTTGGATTTACGGATCCTCAATTACCTATCTTCAGAAGCTTCAGAAGTGCAAACTTCTTTCGCTCACAATGTACATAGAACTACACGATCTTCAACTATTCATCAAACTCATCAATGGGCAATACGATCTCGATATTTCAGAAAATGCCAAAAATGAACGAAACTCGACAAGTTTATAAAGTTTTCATTGTCAGAAAAAAAACCGACTTGCTAAATGCGATGAAAATTTTTGGTCCCGGTCAACAGTTCTTTTCAATGAAGTTACGGATTTGAACAACCTGAGTGGATTAAAACAAAGATTTATCAACATATACTGGAATTATACTAACAAATTTTACAATAAACTAGTGACATGCACTTGGCGTATATAATGCATCTGCAAACAATGCAACCCTCAAAGGAAACTCATAGATTTTTGAAACAGAGGGGCGCAAGCACTAGGGACCTGTCCCTGAAGACTCATCTAATGTTTTGACTGTGTCCTTTTAAATCAATTTTCCTTTTGTTTCTTTGTTAATTCGCAGAAACTATTAAGAAATGTTGTCGCACTTATACCGATACACGAGACAACTCGCTGCAAGTAAAAAAGTGTCATGCGATATTCATTTTTTTTACTTTTCTTAAGCGAATTCTAAAAAAAATAATCCCTTTTCTAAAACTTCGTATTTTCACAGTTTCAAGATCTTGATCGCACGCACCTAGAAGAATGTACAGAAAAAGCTCAATTATTGTAAAAATGCTGATTTTTTCTCAGCCAAAAAAATTAGACTTGTTTTAAATCATAAATTAAAACTCTTCAAGCAAAAAGACTCCAACAAATGGTCATGTCAACACGAACACATACGTTAGGTGTCCGCATATAATTATGGAGCAGTTCAGCAATTAATGCACTGATCTGTTGGACAAGTTCTGCACTGGAAAAAAATTGCTTTTGGCAAAAGTTTGACAAAAAAATTATTAATCGCTTGATCATGCATGCTAAGTTAAATAGCAATAATTGAAAACTTTTCCGAGCAGTTAACTCGAAAGCAACAAAAAATTGTGAAAAAATGGTTCACTGCGAGTTGTCATTATATTTTGGACATGATTTTGCAAGAAGCAGCAGAATGGAAAAACCTGAAGATCGAAATTCGCTAAATTCACAATTTCACTCCAAATTGTTTTCAATTTAATCAATGTAATTAAAAATATTGCTAATTGATGACAAATAAATCACAAAACAAGTAAAACAAAGCAGATTCCTAAAAACAAATTAGGGAAAGAAATCTGTAGCAAACAATAGTTGTAATAAATGGAACAATTTAAACGTAAAGCTGGAAAAAGTTAAAGCTGAACAAAGATTTAGTTTTGAATTTAAAAATTGTTTGATAGAAATACACGGGAAAATTCTTTTTGACAGATCCATTAGTTGTTTTCGAGATTATTTTTTTAATCTAATATTAGTATTGTTTTATTCTCTTTTAATTATACAAGTTATATTTGTATATTTACGTGCCGGTGTACGGTGTAATTATTGATTTTTAACTTATTATAATAACTTCTTTTTGTAGCAGCATGTATGTTTAACCTTAGCGGTTATTTTGAGTATAAGTCTTTGTGAAAAAAAAACGTGAAAGTTTTTCTCTAATCTGAGTTGAAAGCTGATCTTTTCTGATGGAGTTTTTGTTTCATTAATAATACCCAATAATTCCTTAAAGCAGTTAACATGCTCAAAATTGTCATAACTTTAAGCCTTGAAACTTTATGATTAGATAGTACTGAAATTTCGTACCACTTTTTTTTTGCTATTCCGACTTTCGATGAAAGTGACGAAATATTTGTAATTGGTGATAGTTTTCTTCAAGTATTTCTTGACTTTTTAACCAGCAGTTTTTGTTGGGATTTTTTATGCTTTCTTACTTAAATCAAAAGTAAATTAGAAAAAAAAACAAACTCAAAAAGTAAAAGTAACGCTTAAACAAAAAAAAAAGCTTTGCAAGAACAACTCAATTTCGTACTGAAATTTCGTACCACTGTTTTTTCCTATTCCGACTTTCGAGGAAAGTGACGAAATATTTGTAATTAGTGATGGTTTTCTTCAAGTATTTCTTGACTTTTTAACCAGCAGGTTTTGTTGGGATTTTTTACGCGTTCTTACTTAAATCGAAAGTAAATTTAAAAAAAAACATAAACTCAAAAAGTAAAAGTAACGCTTAAACAAAAAAACGCTCTGCAAAAACAACTCGATTCAGTGGTCCATGTCATGTATGCTTATTAATTATAAGACGCAAAATGGCAATTTTTTCAATGAATTGTTAGACATGGGTCTGTCTTCAAGATCTTGATCAAAAGGATCTTGAAGAATATTTTTAAATGATCTATCAGCGTTAAAATTGCTTATCGTTTCACCCAAAAAAAAAGACTTGTATCAGATCAAAAATCTATGCACAAAGACTCCAACAAAAGTACATATCAACACAAACTCACACTTTACATATCTTGTACCCGATTGCAATATCCTTGCTTTTTGCGAGGGTAATAAAAGGGATAAATAATATTTTTTTGATGACTTTTTCAACTTCAATCTTGAACTGAAAAAATTTATGTTGTTGATCCAATGCTCATTACCCTTGCGATAGTAAGGGTATTGCAATTGGGTACTGGACTTATTTCACATAAATAATTTAAGGCACAGAATAATCAAAATTAGAAATGGTAAATTTAGGTTCAGTTCTTAATTAATTCTAAGTACTTCGTGGCTCTGGCACACTTGGTCTGGAGGTAACGAACACGCCAGGGCCGGCCAAGGTAGGGTCCTGAGAACGATTATGACGGGATCCGAATTTTTAAGAATGGAAATATTCCGTTTCACAAAAAAATTGTCGGTTCATTATCTGTCTGCTTATGTTTTGCCAGCTTAGTTGTCATATTGTATTGTAGAATTGTTGTTTTTTTTAAGATTTGTTACATAGTTGCTTTTAGTATTCTCATTAACCTCTGATGTTGTAATTTTACTAAACTTGACTTTCTCATATTTTTTTCTCTCAAAAATTTTTTTCTGCCCAAATGATTTCGGCCTATTCTTTATCAGCTTAGTGACCTAATTTTGATTCGTAGCAAGGAAAACAAAATTTTTATGCTGACACCTGGATCGCACAAAAAGGTACAAATAAAAATTCTAGTTTAATTTTTTCATTACCATATTTTTTTGGATTGATAGGTTTTGGCCTATAATATATCGGTTTGATGGCCCTATTGCGTTGTTCAACAAGCGAAAAATTTTTCTGTGTACGTGTCTGTGTTTTGAGGGTCAAAAGGAATTATTAATTTAAGTCTTGTTAATTTTTTTTGACTGGCAGGGTTTCTGCCAAGGTATTTCTCGGATTTGCTACCGTTTGGTACTTGCTTTTCGCTCATTTCGCATTTCTTGGTCTTGGCATGTTTTTTTTTGAGAATTAGCTTTATTTTTTCAATAGATCAATTTTTTCTTAGCTAGCGGCTTTCCTGTTTTGTATCGCAAGTGGTATGAAGCTCAGCTTCACCTTTGTGTTTAAATTATAATACCGAATGCTTACGAAAACCACCGGACATGTTTTAAAAGTTTCTATAATTGATTTCAATGCATGTTGATTATCCCATTTATGAGTTCCAGTGTCATAAGTCCGATTAAATTCTTGAAAACCCTATGATACTGAAGCTGCAAAATTGATTTAGTTTAGTTAACGAGACACAGAACAAACACGCTCAATTAGCATGGCATCGAAAAATTTTTGAAAATATTTGAACTTAAATTGCAATATAGCTTAACATAGGTTGCTGGTTCTTAGCCAATTTCATAGGCTGCTGGTTATTAGACTGTAGTCAGATTTTGCTCAAACTTTCTCTTCTATATCATACTTTTTTTATGTACGCATGCTCTTAATTATTAACAAAACCTCAAAAAAAAAGATTCCCGCTTTATATAATCATAATCCTATAGATTTCGGGAACAGACTAATATGTTTTCCGTACTGACCGTTCTTTTTTGTTTTGACTTACCAGATAAATGACGTAATTTTTCTAGTCGGTAATGTCGGAGTGTTTCCTACATGATCAGTTTTATTGGCAACATCGATGCCTCAAAACGAAAAAAAATCACCTGTTGCGATTCTTAGGCAAATTAAGGATCATTAATGCCCGACGAACTGCTTTCTAAAAACGCGTTATCGCCAAATAAACCGGCTCAGAAAGCATTCTACTTTGAGTAGCGACAACCTTTTTGGTATTAGTTTTATGTTAATGAAAGCAGAACTTGTCACTTTTTTCTTGAGTTCAAAATGAAAAATATGGTAAGATTGTGGGTAGGCGCGGATCTAGGTTTTCTTGAGGAGGAAGGCAGATTCTAAAATTTTGACGACCTTTTTTTATAATAGAAGTTGAAAAGTAGTCTGCTTGACCAAACTTTTGGTCATTTCATTTCTTTTTATCCGCTGAGTAGGCGCCGAATCAATCTGCTGTGAAAAAATGAGCTAATAGCGCTGTTTAGTAATGTCTCTGTTGGGGTTCATTTAAAAAATGATAAAATTTGTAAAAAGCTCTTTAGAAAACCAACTTACACAAGTAACAGTTTTGTAATGGAACACAGAAACTTTCGTCCAGTCATGTTGGATTAAACTGTCACTTGGCATACTGTCACACAAGAGACTGACCTTGATGTTGTTGCGGCCGAGCGAGAGTATGCGGAGATGTTTGAATCCATTGAGGTTGGCTATCTTCTCAATGCAGTTGGTGGAGAGGGAGAGTTGTTCACACGTAGGGGCTAGGTAGGCCAATGAAGCATCCATCTTTTCAATAGGAGGAATCTGAACGCAGCAAAGGCCAAAGCGTTCTGAGCAACTCAAAGCGCCAAAATTTTCTGTTCAAAAAATGTTTGCTCTACTGGCTTTTATCGAGCTGTTGTAATTGAACAATACAGGTCGCAATTTCTTTTTTGCTCTTTTTATAAACGAAATATTTTCCTCGGAGACGTGAAAATTCGACAGAAATTGTTCAAGGTGCAGAAAATTTAAAACATACAGGCTTGAAAAATTTGATAAATCTTAGAAGTTTCTGAAAACAAGTAATGACTGACTCGGGGTCACTTTTTTATCAAATTGATTTTAATATGTTTAATACTGAACTAACTAAGTGAATTAAGAAAATCAAAAGCGAACATGAATTTTATTGAAGTCTAAAAGTTCAGTGCAATGCATACCTGTGCGTATAGTTTGACCCATCTGACTTCGTTTGCTTTGCACTCGTATTTTTCCTCGAATCGAGTGATTGCATCTTTAATCGTCGTCCCCTTGGAAGACATGATAAAACACAAATGACGTTGCAAAGTAGAAAAAAAGCGTAAATTACACCGTCAATAGAGTGAAATTATACAGTGTGCACTAAAGCCAGAGGCAAATGGAAAGCTTGCATAAAATATAAGGTACTTTTGTTTGTGAAAGAAGAAACAGGTGGAAAATTTTTGGTGGTTGCCGACGCATCTTCATATCAACGGAATAAAGCAGATTATTTCTTCTTCATTTTTTCTTTTCATGCTGTATTGATCCATTCATTTTATTCCTAATTTTGCAACAAATGAAACAGTCAAAAAATGAAGAGCTAGCCCTAAACAGCAAGAAATACGACAGAATCAAGATTTTTACAAATGTTCTGCTCATCTGAACGTTAAGTTTTTGAGATGCTATTTTTGAATTCCTGAAAATAGTTCTCTCAAAGGTTTCGAAGTTAACGAACGATTACAATGTAAATCCAGCGCAGAAGCATGTGAACAAATGGACTACTGGCGGCATGTGGTACGATATTAACGACACAGAAACCGTTCCGATCGTTTCCAATAATTTCCAAATTCGAGATTATTTTGTACTGATAATTATTGGAGGAAAATGGGTCCTCAGAGAGGGTAAATGCCGAAATCTGGGACTATAACTTACTAACTTTTGAAAACGCGACCAGCTATCAAATGACCGGTTGAACAATTTTGAATTGGATCATTTTTGAGGTATAGCGGGTTGCTTTTCGGTTTATTCGTAAAAAAAAGGAGCCTCAGAGTTTCTTTTCAAAATGGCCTTGGAAACTGAGAAAATATTTATATCAACTTTGCGAATAACTATGAATAAATCGTTTTTGGAGAAAACTTTTTTGGATCATAGATTTTTTAAAACAATTTCATCTACTGAGGACGATGAAGTTTTTTCAGAATAGTATAATATGGCAAGTGCAAAATTTGAAATTAGATCAGACATGTGATTTGAGCTGTAAATTTTAGAAAAAAGTGAGAAAAAAGTTTCTTAAAATTTGACAATAATTGAAAATCGTCAGTCACTATATTTAAGAATTAGATCACCAGAAATTTTTTAACGAAGTATTTTCTAAAACAAAAGCTTTGAGATTATGAAATCTATTTGAAAGAAGTTTTAAAAATTTCAAATAATATGTAGAGCACAAATTAAATAGGAAAACTTTTTCAGAAATTTTGAAATGCTTAAGTTTTGAGAAGTAACGAATAATTTGAAAATTTCAGCAGCTCACAATAATAAGAAACCGATGCACATTATATGCATCGTTGTTCTAGATCTTAGTAGTAACTTCAAGAGAACTAGATCAAAAAAGGACTTTGATGATATTCCAATCATAACTTATTGACTTACTTATTTTTTTGGTTCTAAGTTTCTAAATTTTCTATATAGTTTTCTAACATTTAGGTTACTTGAAATAATTTTTTTTTATTATTTGGATGAAAAACGTGCCAAATAATAGCGCCCATTTTTTAATAAAAATAGGGTACCAAACAATTGAATTGTTAAATGAGCTATTTAAGATTTAATTGAACAAAAAAGACATCCAAGGTAGTTCACTCATTGTGGACGAAATTTACAATTGATCTGTACAGTGGAATTAGCAAACGAAAATTTCTGGAACTCGATTCGAAATTTCTATTTTCTTTAATATTCTTCTATGAATTGTTTTTTTACTTGAATTCAAGCACTATTTTTGTTTTACTCAAAATCATGAATTCGGATAACTCGATTCGAAATTTCTATTTTCTTTAATATGCTTCTATGAACTGTTTTTTTTTTTACTTGAATTCGAGCACTATTTTTGTTTTACTCAAAATCATGAATTCGGATGTTTTCTTTTTACTTTGTACGGATATATACGCAATAACTGTTAAATGCTTTATATGCGGAGAAAAAAACGTATGAAAAAGTAGAATGTTAACAGAAAGATGCCAACAATTGGTGTTGTGGCGTATTCGTGACTTTGTAGCCGGCAGTGATGGTGCTCATGAGCCATATGATTGCTCTCGCTAGATAAGATAAAGTAAGCGCTTGCAAGATAGCCTCATTATAGTGGTTTTATCTTGAATCAATGATCTCCAGTCCAAACTTAAGTAAGTAACGTTTGAGTTAAGCCTCCGGCATGATTGAATAAAAAGTAAGGAGCAAACAAGTATAATCCAATTCAGACGGAAATTTTTTCAGTTTTTATCTTGAAATCTTGGTGCTCACTTATAAAAACGATTCAAAAATTTCTTTGCTAGTCTTCATTTTTCTTCTCTAGACTCTCTACAAACTATATAAAAAACGGATGTAAAATTTTGCAAAAAAAAATAAATCTCGTGTTTTCAATTACAATTAAAATGGCTTGGAGCACAACATAAATCCGTACAGCAACAAAAACGCCAAATCATAAGCACACAATAAAAAAGCCGACAAACAGAATTAATCCCTTTTGAAAAATAAGGCCTGATTACAACCCAGGATCTTTGCTGTCTCACGAAACATTCACATGTTTCAACTGGTTTTGTTAATTAAATTGTTTACCTGAAAAATTTCTATATTACGATTAGACAAGTTTATAAACCTATTTAAAAAAAACCTGCCCGTCAAATTCATACGTTAAATTTATTCTCATTCAAAATATTTTATATTTGAAACGTTTTTCACCTGAATTAGCTTTGATTTTTTTCCAACTGAGCTAAACAAATTGATTATTTTCTTTTGATGCAACCTCTTAAACGCTCGTCGATTTAAGAAAAATTTCCCCTGGCTGCCGTGAAAGGTGTCTGTTGGGCCTCATTTTTGGCACCAATAGTTTTTCAAGGATTTGCAGCTCCAATTTCTGATTTTACAAAAAAAAGAATTGACTATAATTGATGACTGGTGCAAAACTTGAACAACACCACCTATTTTGTTCCTAACTTAAGTAGCTCACAACTAATACTTTTGAAAACAAGATTGTAAAATATCCTGAAGGTATCATCTAGTAGAATGCCGTCAAACTAGTCGTATGCTATCCCACCCCATCCCTACCCACAAACTTTTTAACGTATTTTTTATTCTTATTCTCCGGTCTTAACAAACATTGGTATGCGAACTAATTATGCCTTAACAAACATATTTAGACTTCAAAAGTGACCGTTTAAAACCTTTTGATACACCACGGCATTGATCTTAATGCGCGGCTGGGGAAAACTTATGTGAGGTGCTTAGTTTTACTTTAAAATCCGAAGATCTCAAAGTCTAAGTTTCGAGAAATCGCGGTTATAAACCAAAATTTGCCATGACATCGCAATTCAAGTAGTTTGTTTGTATTTTTAAATTTTCTATACAGCTGCCCAACGTGGATTTTCTCCCGAATCTATGCACAAAAGATAAATTTCTGGATAAATTTGATTTTTCATAATCTTGATTTTTTTGTTGCAGTAATTTTGTTTTAAAATGTCTTTGCTCTAGTTTCACGCACTTGTTTTGAATTGATTGAAAATGACTGTAAAGCTATTTTGTAATGCAATTTGAGGGATATGTAAAAAAATAGTCATAATTGTCTACCCTCCATCCAACTTACAGATAGAGCACAAACAAAAACAAATAGAACTAAATATAACCCAGACGGAAAATGAAGCTCTGCATCACTTGCGATACATTCCAAAGAAAGCATTGAAAAAATTGGACTGTAGTAAATGAGAGGAAAACCATGAAACAAAAAGTGAGAAAAATAAGCCCATCAAAAATTTCATAAGCTCATCTCGATTTGTCTCTGTGGTAGCATAGCTGCTACGCAGTCTACAATTAAAGAGCATACGCCTGTTGAGCCGATGAATTACTGCGAAAAATTTTTGTCTTAAAAAATTTTGAAACTCTAATATCCATCCCAGTCCTCAGACGCATTATGGGGATATAAAACCGATGTAAAAATGGTCAGAATCACTTATGCCGAACAAACAGTTTGAGGGGAAAATGAAAGTTTCAAAATGGAGTTAGTAAACTTAAAATCAGTATTTTAAAAATATCAATAAAGTACGGGTACTTAAATGCAACCATTCTTTAAAAATGAGTGGTCTTTGACAAGAATATTCAGTATCACTTCCAGCAGCCTGCGCAAACTTATAGCTAACTTATAACAAAATACTAATACTAACAATACTAATACTAATACTTACAATCATAATAAAAAGCAATGGCAACGTGGAGTTTCCTTTGCATCACTTTCGATAGCTCACAAATGTAGCATGACAATCTATCTGACAGACAATGAGAGCAAGGTGAAACCCACTAAAATAATTTACATTTAAAAAAATCGGGAAAAAACTATTTCTACCAAAACTTGCATATCGTTGTCTCAATTTGTTTTGATTGAATTTCATTTTAAGAATACATGCAAAATTAGGCCGATCACCCGCAAATAACTTGTTTTGTTGATCAAACGCAGGAAAAGGTTTCGTTCATCGAATGAGACGAAATGAACCCAGTAAACCTATATGTTATGAGCCGAAAACTTTTGAGCCGAAAGAAGACAACACAAAAAAACGGGTATTATGCTGAGTATGGTGTAACAAACGGAGTGAGAATGGGGTAATAAACAATTTGAGTAATTTACAATCAAGATAAAAAACAAATATCGAAGAGAACAGGAATAAAAAATCCAGATATGCTCAAAATATCACTATCGGGGGAAGAAAAAGCTGATTTGAATGTATATTCAGTAGTGCTGTTAAATAAGTTGGTTGCAAGAAAAAATACATCTTCCAAAATGTTAGCTCTTGCCTATAGAAAACGGGACACTGGATCACTAGCATGGGTAATAATTTCCAGCAGATTCATCGTTGAAGCAAAAACTTGCAAAAAAGGTTGAAACTTTTATATCAGTTTTGAGTTAGTTTTTTTTTTCAAAACAAAAATGCAAAATAAACAGCCTGAAATTATTGCAGCTCAGTAACTTCTGTTAATGGGACTTTACAAAAGGGATTTAGACCCAAAAAAGAGATGACGTTCTTGCTCAAAAACACAATTTTCGACTGGAGTCGAGTTTCAAACATAAGTCGTCTCAAGCATAGCTGTTACCTCTAGCTCAGGCGCCAGAATGAAAGGTTGAACTTGCAATTATTACCAAACCAGTTGAAAAACTTCTACAAATGTCACGCCGGAACACCATTGCTTATCGCAAAATTGATGAGAGTTTTAATAATCAAATTATTAGCAATCATATTAATCATGCTATTTAAAAAACTTGACGATTTTAATTATAGCAAC